ACTTCGGATTTTATATAGCAGAAAATCAGGAACCTTCACACACTGACTGGAAGTGTTTGCTACGGCCCTGAGGGCACCAATAGTCCATAACAGCTCTGCTCAACCCACTCCAGGTGTTCCCTGTGGCCCAGGACCCTATTTCTGCCCACCCAGGGCTGTCAGTCCCTGCCCCAGCAATCCTGTGGGATGTTGCTCTCCCCCACCTGGCTGTGGGCCCCACAAACACTCTCCCTGCAGAAGAGCTGGGAGGAATGAGCTGGGCTCTGAGTGACCATGAAGGTGTTAGAGAAAAACCAGGCTCCTGCTGTGCTGCAGAGCTCAATTCCTCAGATGGTCGCTGGGTAGCAGCACAAAGAACCGAATTTCAGCTTTAACACCCTTGTTCAGGCAAGAGATGTGACCAAGAGCAGGGCAGAGAGCCAAGCAAATAACATAGCCTCAGTAACAAGTGAAATCCAACCTGCCTTTCTCTGATTGAGGAAGCCCTGCTGAGATAAATGCTCTGATCCATCTCTTCTCTGAAACAGGAGCTCAAAAGTGGGTCACATCCTGCTGCTGGCACAGCCACATTTGGGGAGTTCTCTGCTAGGAGCTGACAAAGGACCAGAGCGGTCAGAAAAAATCTGCTTCTCACAACAGAGTTCACTGAAATCACTGTCTCTGCAGGGAGGAAGGTGATGTGCAGCCAGGAAGGGTGGGAAGCAGCAGGAGTCAGCACATGTAGAACCTCACAGCCAGCTCTGGTCTTGCTGAACTCGGCTTCAAAGTCACCCTTGTTCACATTTGTGTCCTCATGTCCCCTTTTCCTCAGGTGCACCACTGGTATCTCTTTCTGTGAGATGATGAACTTTTTTCCTCCTCTGGCCTTAACAACCAAAACAATATATAGAAGTAAAGGTGAATGAAGTTTAATTCAAATGCCAAATGGGAAAGCTTAGAGGTTTTAAAAACAGTTTGTTTTATGTAAGAACATATTGGAAACTGGCACAAACAAGTCCCTATCTGCTCTGAGATACCAGAGCAGATGTGACAGAGTGGAAAAAGCCTTTTCCGTGCCAAAGTATTTGCTGGAGATTTGATAACAAGGTGCCATTGTACAGCACTGGGTAAAGGTCCAGACTAGAAAGGAGAAAGAGAGGAGGCCTCCAGGCTGTTCAGGACTCTGCCTTTGCTCCTGCACTGAAACTCCTGCCCACAGACAGCAGGTAGAGCTGGTTAGATACAGCAAAAAGGCAGCAGTCAGCTCTCCTGTGTTGTTTTTCTTATCTGCAAACAGTGCCTTGTCCCTTCATTTCTGTTAGAGGGCTGTAGGGTCCTTCTAGCTTTTCTCTGCACTGCTTTGGAGAGCATTAAATTCAGCACTCCAAATGCACATTTATAATCTGAAGGAAGATGTGAAACTTCAGTACAGGAGCTCCAATTTCTAATGTTGGCACTGACAAATTTTCAATGATTTCGGTGAATTTCATTCATCCCTGTCATATTTCCCCCTAGGTACTAATACTATGTGTTTTACAAATATTAACACTGAATGTTTTGCAAACACAGTTGATTTGGAAAGGTGGCTATTGAATAAAATTTCAGATTGCATCCTTTGACTATAAAGCCTAAACATATAAAGCACCACCCTCAAAAGTGATGCTCTTATCTGTTTTGGTTCTGAAATGAGCAGCATCTGGTTTTCTGTAGCTAAGGAAGAATGGGAAAGTTTGGGCTGCATTCTCTTTTTCTCAAAATTCATCTGCTTTTTGTCCCCTACCAAAGAAAACTCACCAAAAATTATTCAGACACAGAAAACACATCAAGGCAATAACTGCATCTATGCCCTGACATGGTAACAAGTCTCCCACATAATCCCCTGAAGCAGTCTTCAAATTCAAAACACAGTCTCAGTCAAAATCAATCCCTAATTGCACGAAGGATGTATCTGAAGTCACACTATCTTAAAAAGCAAAGAAAAAGCTTAGATGGCAATTTATCTTAATAGCCTTTACTAAGCTCAAATGAGCAGACAGGTTTCATCAAATAAGAGAAATACTTTAACCACCCCAATGGCATTTCAGTTCTTTTCCCCACTCCAAGTTGCTACCAATTGTTATTTCACATCAAGGTGTAAAGAGACTCCGGCACCTTGAAGTTCCCTTTAGCTGCCCACATGCTTTTATTCTGCAATGCTTTGCAATTGCCCCCCCAGCAGCCTCCTCGGTAGCAGCCACGGGCCGTGGGTGCTTCTATTTATCACAGCCAGCCTGAAACCCACTGCCTGAGTCAGCACAGCCAGGGAGCTGCTCTCCTCATCTCCCCTCTCCCCTCCTGCTACCCTTTTCAAACAGAGTTGCTTTTAGCTCATTTATCTGCCTATTGGGGCGATATGTAATCAGAGCAGGAGTCCTGATGGGAAATACAAAGTGATTCTTTAGAGTGGTTGGCTTTGAAAACTGTTCTGGGCACTGATCAAGCAAGTGTTACAGCTGCCCCTTTCATTTGCTCTGCCTTCTGCCCTGAGTCTGCCAGCATTAGACAAACTGGAAGAGCATCTGAGATGTTCACAGGCCCATCTTGCTTTAGTAAAATCTGGTATTATTCATGTCAGTATGTGAGTCATTTGATGTGAGGTTAAGGACACAGACTGATTCATCCAACCCACTGTCCAGGGTACCCTGATGTGGTCTGTCTTTAACACCACAGAGATCAAAAGTCCCCATGTATTGACTGTGAAAAGGTGGTACCTTTTCACAGTCAGAACCTCCTCTCTGAACCAAAATAACAAATGCTTTCACTCCTGTATCTCTAATGCCAGCACTGCTCAAAGACTAAAAGAAACATTTACTCCATTAGGAAAAATGGAGCCATGCCCTAAGTCCTAATTAATGACACCTGCACAATAACACTGACATCGGGTTTATCCCAGGTCTGCATTCCCCAGGGGACTTCACATGCTGAGGTCAGAGAGATGTCCCTTGGAATCACCAAGACAAAGGAAAAGATCCTGTCATACAAAATATTCCCACAAAATTCTTGTTAGTTCTATTTAGTTTTCCACATCTGCTTATATGTCCTCCTAGGCAATCTAAGCAATCTAATCCTGTTATTAATCTTCTTCCTTTACAATAAAGAGAACAAAAATAATTTATTCCTGAGTTTGGATTCTGAAAAGACTTTTTTCCATACAAAAGAGGCCAAGTAACTGGGTAACACGGAGATGTCCCAACATGAAGGTGGATGAAATGCTGCGGAATTCATCTACCCACAAAAAACAGCCAGTGGAAGTGCAGATACAAGCCAGAAAGAGGGAGGAATGAAAGCAGAAATACCTACAGCAGAGCAGGCAACTAGAAACAGACGCCAGCACTAAAGCACTGAAGCCATTTCTGCTCTGCTGACTGAAGTGAGGCCCATCACCATCTGTTCCACATCAGGGCAGGATTGACTGGGTCAATCCAGCAGATGCCAATGTCAGTGTCTTCCAAGACACACAGTTTTGTGGTTAGTTTCAGAAATGAGTTTGCTTTTAAAAAGGACCCAACCTTTCTTTCTGGGTAACGGTACAAACTGATAGCAGGAGGTAAAGAGCCACAGAAGGCAAAGGTGCCTCACATTGAAAGCCAGATTCTGCTAGTTCTGTGTTACCAACTGGCACAAACTAATAGAACTGCAAATCGGCCTTTTGTGAGCCCACGCACATACCTGTGTTATCCTTGGAAGTGTTCAAGATCAGGTTGGATAAGCAACCTGGTCTAGTGAAAGGTGTCCCTTTCACTAGGGGGGTGGGAACAAGATGACCTTTAAGGCCCCTTCCAACCCAAACCATTCTATGATTCTGTACTCCTTCTCTGTAGGAATAATCATTCTTGAAAATGCAACTACGGAAGCAAGAAGATGTCAGAGTTGTGACTAAGATTTGACTTTGGGGTGCTTATTCCAGCCCCTCATACTTAGTGCAAAAATTAGTCAGGAAAAAGACCTCAAAGGCCCAAAAAAACATGCATAATTCCTTAAAGATTCAACTTCTAGAATCAATTGCCTGCCAAACAGAATCCCCAAAATTGCTCTGCTTTGTAGAAAGCATTAATTCAGGTTTGATATTTGCAAGAGCCATAAAAGATACTTTTTCACACACCTCCAAAAAGGAGTGGAATTCTAGGAATGAGCACTGCTCTCCAAGAAAGTTACTAGTTCTTTTGATAGCTAGCTAGCATAATGCATGAGGTAAAACAAAAGCTTCAGATTCCTTTAACTACTTAAAATTTAAACTGAAGCATTATGTCAGCAAAATACTGATTCACAATTCTTTCAGTACAAAGAATCTTTTTTCCATCAGTTTCTCACAGTTATTTCTCTCATAGGACAAATAAAATAAGAGACTTCATGTTACAGAGCTCATCACTCAAGGATGGGGATCTGTTTATACTTACACCGATGGTTAAAAAAAATGTTTTCACAACAAAAAACAGCATTGAAGATTTCAGATAAGCTACTCGAAGGGGTTGAGGGATGATTTTTTACATGTGATTCAATCCTGGAAGTTTGGAATAGTTTTTATTTTAGTGCTTAAAACTTTAGTAGTGTGCCTGCATGCAACCACATACTTCAGTATCATAAATACCAAGCAGACACAGAAAAAGCAGTGCTGATAATCCAGTAGGATTCAGGGGAAAAATTGCCAAGTGAGGTTTACCTTTCAGCTGCCAGTACCGTATCTGCGTTTCTCAGTTTTCCATCATTCAAGTTACAAACCTGTATATAAACAGCCCTGCAAAGTCAAATGGGGACCACACAGCGAGGAACCCCTCCTGAGCTTTGACCAGGTGCTGAGAACTGGCACTGCCAGGATATGGGAGCAACCTTAGACAAGCAACATAAACAGCACCTTCACCAAAGTGCAGACAGGTTTCTTAGGTTAGCAGCTACAGTACTGAAGAGAAATGTATTTTGCTCAGAAAGAACACACAGGCATCATGTATATTCTTTATTTTACAAAATTAATTAAAAAAGCAAAAAATCTTGAGCAGAATGTAGGTAGCAATGTCTTTTATAAAACATTTTCTGAAGTACACATGTTACCAGAGCCTGAGTCAATCCTCTCTCACAAGGTAGGTTTTGTTTACAAGATTTAAATCACAATAACCAGTTCTGCCTCATGAAACAAGCTTCTCTGAAGCCTGAGTTGACAGCATGTGACATAAGCTTAGTACTGTCTCTTTCATTACGATAACTTATGTTCAGAAATTATTAGCCTGGAGACTGTTTCATCCCCAGCATTACAAATCTGCACAACTCGATAATCTGAGAAAAATTAAGAATGCGGAAAAAGATGTAAGACAAAAATAACCTGAAATACGTACTTGCAAAAAATTCAGGTTACAGGGGGAAAAAAGTAGTGGATACACAAGAAAGCAAGGTGCCTTTTTTTCTTTTTCCAAATTCAGCTTTCCTCAGAGAATGGTAGTTTAGTCCTCCCTAAAGAAAGCTCTGTGGAAATAGAAGATAAATAAAACTTACAGGAACTCACAGTTCCCACTCCAGCCGACCTCCTTTGAACTACACATTCTTTCTTATATTTAATTATGCCCACTGCCCTCAATCATCCAGTCTCTAAAATGCTTTTCCATCAAGCTTCTGGCTCTCCAGTCACCAATATTTACAGTGGGGATGATTTTCTGTGGCTTCAACCATTGAACAAAACGCTTCATTTCCAGGTAACTGCTGTGTTCACTGTAAGGAATCCCTGAAATGAAAAAAATCACAGTGATCTGTCAGTCTACTTAGCTTCTTGCTAAAGCACTTTGCAAACTTTCCAGCTAAGAAATACTTCAGAGAAAAGTTTTTTTAAATTTTTATTTGGGATCTAAAGTTTATAGCTAAGGTAAAACAAAAACCCCCAATTTTCCTTCTAGGAAAATTACCTTGCATTAAGTCACCAAGTCACTCAGCAGTGCAAACTGAGCAACATCAATCACCTGGTTAAATGAAAATTAAGAGATTCAGCTCCACCCACCGATAAAAACCGAGAGGAAGAGGAAGACCCAGTCTGTCAGAAACAAGTAAGACATGGAATGAAATTGTGGCTCTGGATCTGCACTGCCACCAGCATCAGTCAGGCCAAGACTCCATTCCTGCAGTCTCTACATGTATCAGATGAAAGCCTTTATTTGCATGAGGAGGAGAGGTGCAAAATGTACGCAAAAATCTGCATTTATGCTGTTCTTGATTACTCGGTTCACAGATTCTCCTGCAGAGACCTGTTCAGTTTCTCAATGAGTTACCAGAAAAAGTAGTGGTAACAAAAAACAGTAGGATTTTCCAGAATAAAAAATATGAAAAGCATCCACACAAAGTTAAATCTTTGCCACTCTTATACCATATATGGTGATGTTTCCTCTTGTCTGAGGTTTGATATCTGCCAGAGAAAGGCATGAATCAGAGTAGGTCCACCCAGTAGGTTTGAAAGCCAGAACTTGATCAAAATTCTCAGAAAACTTATTCAAGTGACCTTGCAAGCCCTGTGGAAAAAAAAAAACCAACATATACTTAAACTCCATAAATAGCTAATTAGACTAAAGATTGGAGATTTCATGATGGAGAGACTTCAGACTACATTTTATTTTCATGTGTTGATATTATCTTTTTAATTTTAAATATCATCTGCCTTTAAATTATTGATACATATTCACATTTGCAAACCAACTTGTCCCTGAGGATCTCAATTGCTTCATCTGAATTAAGCACATAAGGACAGCCATGCATTACAGATCAGAATATATAAGGTAAAATCACATCTTCTTACAAATCTTGCTCCCTGAGTCATTAATTTTCCCCTCTAAGCTGGAGGTCAGCACTCTTGCAGCTGAGTGGGAGACAGAATGTGGTGAAAGCTGCTTCAGTGCAAATCATCTGATTAATTTGTGCCACTGAGATTCCAACGCCTATTTATACCCAGAAGCACCCAGAGTTAATTAAGCTACCCAAAAAAACTGCAGCAAGTCAGTGCATGACTAAACTATGCTTTACCAAATCTCCACTCATGACAGGAAGGAAACCACCTCTCATCTTTTCACTCTAAGAAAAAAAATTAACTTGAAAAAGTTTCCAAGTATAAGGAACGTACAATCCTATTCCTGGACAAAGTGAAGTAGGTATGACTTCAAGTTAAAAACAGAAAAATCAATTTCATGTGTCCTCTATAAAATCTTAAAGGCACATTCTCCATTTCAAAGTCCTGTAAGGTTACAGAATTCAGAACCATAAACTTTTTATTAGCAGGAGGAAGAGGATTACAAAATAAAGACTGATTAAAAGAGAAGGGCAGGGGGGATAGATGGGCTGTTGATAGAACACTAACCAATGTGTCAGACACTTGAAAACTATTAAACAGGGCAGCAGAAAGCTGCCTGTGACACTGCCACATGTAAAAACACCTTCAGTACAATGTACAGTAGCAACATACAGAATCCATCAAACAAGGCACATAAAGGACTAACAAAACCCTACCACAGCACACACTCCATTCAGCAACAGGAATTATGGCTCACTGCCATGACTCAATACACTGCAACTGTTCAGTCCTCACTTGATTAAAGGTATAACTACAGCAATCTAATTCTCCTTCACACTTCATTTTGGGAAGATTAACATAGCTTAAGGTAATTATTCACATATTTGCTCCCCTTGCTCTAATGAAATCTAAATATAGTACTTCAAATACAATGATTATTATATTAACCAATGCTAATCTGCTTTCAAATTTTGTCATAAATCAACTGTACAACATTCACATTAAGGATGCAATTTCAATCTTATAAAAAATTATTTGTGCATTTAGATCACAGCACTTCTGAAAGTCTCACCTCAATGCTAGTACAAGACACTGCAGAGCTAAGCAACCTAAAAGAGGTTCACAGATTAAAGACAAGTTCTCTTGAAATTTTCCACTGCATATTCCTGTGGCAGGAGCCTCAATTGCTGACTCTTACAAAAAATTGTTTGTAGCAAAAGAACCATGTGTACATTTTGGAAAAGATAGTCTCTTTACCCAAACCAAATTACCATGGTGTTTATTCATAACAAGTCTCCTTTAAATACACATTCCAATCTCTTCTTTTATTGCTTTTGCCAACACTGTTCTAAACCTTCATCCTTTTAAAACGGAAAATATATTTCATTGCTAAATCAACCTCCTTCAATCACCATGACAGCCTGTTATCTACAGTGTCACTAAAGCCAGCAGTACACTAAAACAGATTCCATAAGGTAGGAAAAGACTCAAACATGATTAAATATTTAATTTACCATCAGCCCTAAGACCATTTAAACTCTTCTGGCTTATTCAAGAACAGCCATTTGTCAGTACATACAGCAACTCCTGTATTTTACTGGGGTACAACCAAATACTGCAGTGACAAATCACATCTCTTTGATTTTTTTTTAATATTTTCTTTTTATATATCAAATCCACTTGCAATATTGCAGCAATAAGAGATTTATTTTTATAAATATTTCACTTTAAAATTCACTAGACATAATTTCTATTTTTTTAAAATTTATGTGAATGTTACTCATTTAGAATATCCACAAGATGAATGTACAGAATATCATCTCACTTTTTGACCAAGACAGTACCTGAAGAACGTTTGATATCATCTCCTAATAAACAAACTCTTCAAGAAAGCCAGAGTAATACATAGAAAACAAACCCACAAAAGAACATAAAGAACCCAACCCAACCGTAATACAACAACACAAAAAGCTTATTCATTATTTCATGGATTTGTAGGTTCACAGCTGAAACTACATGAGCAGGAAATTAGCCCAATTAAGAAGTAGGATTATGTTCTTGAGTATGGCTGAGGATCAAACAAAACAGAAGAGGCAGGAAAGACCCGGAAGAAAATGAAACTATTGGCATTTAGTGATGAGGGTCACTAAAAAAATCTGGCTTTCCCAGTAATGAGCCAGTAAATCAAGAAAAACATATGTTGTATAATCCAACAAAAGACAAAAAAACATCTAACTAGAGATGATGGCATCAACATTTACATGGTCTGTAAAAGCAGGATGATATCGTTCACCGTTCTTTAACTAGAAGAGGATTGCAAGTGATCAGATAATTTATTTTTAAAATACTGTCTTTGCTGAATTCACGTGCAGAAGCAAGCCAGATGGTCATATGAACTCATCTTTAAGCATTTAATATTCTTCACTTTTTACTGATAATACATTCCACCCAGGCACTCATCTAGCTGCTGGCCCCACTGGATGTTCAGCACTCTGGAAGTCTACATAGCATTCCCAGCTTACATGGACACAACATTACTAATGGCAGCATGAGACCACATTCAACAACTCCACATGTGAGGTCAAAGCCCCAGTCCAGAGGGCCCTGCTGTTAGATCAGGACTCTCATCCACTAGATCACTGTGCCTTTAATCTTTCCTGGCCCTTTCCAGGGTCCAGGCATCGCTTCTGTCATGCTTCAGATTCATCTAGAACCTCCTGTTCTCAGAGGTGAGACCCTGCATGATACAACTGCCTCTCTCTGAGAAGTAAAGCTGTCTAGACATCCTTGTGGTGCAATCACACCTTGAAAGTCAGCTATGTGAGTATGCCATTGTCCTGGTTAGAACGGCTGGGACCAATTCATCACTAGATGGGTGTAACCCAAAACTGTGTATTCTATAGCCTTCCATGCCATTCCCCAGAAACTGTTGTCAGTGAAGGCCTGCGAGGTGGGGGGATGTTCCTGTCCTCACACCCTTTTATGGAATTCCCCGCTCTGAGGGAGGGACTGGGCATTATCATGCCCTTTCATGGAATTCCCTACTCTGAGGGAGGGACTGAGCACTCCCGCCTGAACTGGAGAGTATATAACTGGGAGTTTCGGAACCTTGCCACCTCTCGTGGGATCCAGAGGAAGACTGCAGACCACCGCCTTCAACCAGACTGGGACCACCACCCTCAACTGAACTGCAATCACCACTTCTGACCAGACTGCAGCAGCTCTCCCACCAGCAGGTTTATCCCCTCTCTCTTTGCTTTGGACTCAGGGGTGGGCCAAGGTACACCATTTTTGTTCATACCCCAGGGTGCTGGGTTATACATTTGGGTTTTGTGGGTTAAAACCAATTGTCTGTCTGTATAATTGTACTTATTGCATTATTTTAATAAATTGTTATTCTGACTTATAAATCTCTCTTTTGAATTGAGTTCATTTTCCCTTGCTGGTTAACTTTTAAACCAGCACAGCCATACATGCTGGGACAGGTGTCAGTAGCATCACATAAGAACCCAGAAATCTGCAGAAGAAACTAAAACATATTACATTAAAAATAAATCCATAAAACATTTCCATTACTCAGTTTCTGCCCCATCATAGAAAACATTATAGAACAAAGTTAAAACATTAAGATATTATGTTCCATCTCCTGCAGCTCCCATCCAAATCATATAGTCTCTTTTTCTCCTTTTTAGGTCAACTCTAACCTTGACTAGTCCTGCAGCTAAATACCATCTTGCTCTGAAGGATTTGCTTGAGATGGCACAGCAGGTTTGAAGCAAAACAGGAAAATGAATCCAAGTCTGTAAAGCATAAACAACCTCTGTTTTCCTCTTTCTTACAGGTTACCTTTAATCTAGAGTCTGCTGCTTTACCTTAATGCCATTTGGTATTTTGTAGTCTATTTAGAAACACCCAAGAATTAGTCACCCTTCCTAACTAAGAAATCTCCACAGAAACTCTCAACAACAAAAACTCACTCAAATCTCAACCAAAATGTGCATTTGAAAACTACTTAGATGAAACAATGTTTTAAAATAAAATGGTTTACTTGCTTTTGCTACAAATAGTAGAGAAGATTGAGTGTGGAAAAATTAAAGCATGTGTATATACAAGGTGTCCTACAGTGCATGTATTTGTTTATGTGTGAGTTTTCACCGATTTTCAAGGAACCTTATCCCCATGTAAATCATCAGCACAGAAGGAGAGTGAATATTCTTTTAAAAGATGAAAATATGGCTATAAATGCACAGAAATTGGACTGAGAAGAATAGAGAACCTATTTCTTTTTATCAGACACCAGATTTGGAAGTTGGTCACGTTCACAGGCTGCCTCAAAACAGAGACTCACATGCAGAAAATCCTTTTAGTCTTTTCCTACATCTGACCAGGTAAAAGGCTGAAAATAGGGACTCCATGTCACAATATATTAATTGCTAATAGGACAGATCCTGCAGTCATTACATAAATCTACTTCAAAAAGGCCCCCAAAGAGCAAGTCTTTGAACAAGCCTCATCTTATCTTGTACAAGCACCATATCATGTTTGGAGAAGTTATTAATGTTTAATTGCATTTCATTTTCAATGTATTGCTACATGTCAAAACTACACTAAATAAATATGATCCGACAAGAGATGAAAAAGCACCAAACACAGCACTGGTTGAGAGAAGCCGCAAGAAGTTCAATAGCAGGTTAATCAAAATATTTTGGTTATATTATTGAAATACTCAGAATATTTTCTGAACTTACCTTAAAATTAATTTGCATCATGGGAAGAACATGAAGCAAAGAACCATTCCAGTCCACACTGATGAGGGAATTAACAACTGTTGACTCCAAGCACTGCAGTGTTTTATACTTATCACGGGACATACTTGCTTTTGAGCCCAGAACTTCAGCAATTGCTTTAGGATAATTGGGAAGAAATCAGATAAAGAAAATTATAAAAGAGTTCTTTTTTTTTTTCGGTTTGGAGATATTCCTGATTATTGTACTAGATAATTTTTATTTAAGAAGTGAAACCTGTAATGGCTGTTAAAAAACTCTGCCCCGACATTTTAGCAGCAGAATTTTGTATAACAACTGGAAAGAGAAGTACCTTGATAAATTCTAAGTCATATTTATTTGGTAAAACATCACTGAGGTGAACTGGTATTTATTCCAAAGATGCCAGAAACATGCAGTTTTTGGAAGATGTGACAAATAGCCCACATTAAAGAGAGACTTAATTTCAGCGAGGGTAGGTCTTGTATTGATGACTTTACACAAAATCACAAACGCTACACAGCTGCCTGCTCTAGAGTGTACATTTAGGCAATCATGTTGGTTCCTAACGCTATAATTGAGTGAAGCATAGAACACAACATTTTCATTAAGTCAGAAAAGGTGTGCTTTGGTTTGGCAAAGGCTTTGTTAAAACTGATTTCATTAAAACTGATTACAATAGCATCTGAGCAACCTGGTGGTCCCTTCAAACATAGGTGATGCTATGATTTAGGAAAATACATGATATAAACCTGAAAGGAAAAACTCAAAATAGAAGTCTAAGAACTACTTTTTTGCTGTTTCTTCATGATATGAAATTATTAACAACAAAAATGCCATAAAAGCTCATTTATTTATTTTTTTATTTGTCCTTAGCAGTTTTCTCACCACAATCAATTAAACACATTCACTCATTTAGTATCCAAACTGGCTGCCAGTATATTCAGGTGGAGAAGGGAGGGTTTGTAAACACGGCGGAAAACTGTTTCTTTTAGAAAGCTAAATCTTATCGACTAGAAATCTAAAAAAATAGCAGTAAGATTATTAAATATATTTAATTTCTTTACAAAATATCTGAACATCCAGACTAAGCAACCTGTTATGTCTTCAAGAAAGAGATCTTTTAACCCTAGTTTAGGTATTTATTTAGTTATTTGATCCAGCACACTTCTTTTACATACCTAAAAAAACTTTTTCTTTTCCTATGGAGTAAGTGCCACAGACAACCAGAGTACGTGGGTTTAGAGTCACTGTCTCAAAGGCGATGTTGACAGCAAACTGGATCACCTCTTGCTGCGCAGGAAAAGTATATTCAGGACTACAGTATCTGGGGCAGAGAAACAAATTATAACACTTTGTTACACATGACAAAAGACATTTGAAACTACCAAGAAGGCCCTCAAAACCGCATGCACACAATAAATGAAAAAGACATTATTCTTCTTTAGAATTTCAGTCTACTAGAAACACTGAGGTGCCCAGGTGAAATTGCTGCAACAAAATTTACACTGAGCATACCAGTGTTTTCTCTACCACTATTCACTCCCTGACACTGAATTCTACAGTTTCTTCTTTATAAATATCAAATGCTCTTTCAAGCTGGATATTTGTATCACATACTAATTACATCTTTATGTCTATTTTTTGTCATACACACAAACCATAATATAAGGCATTATTCATTCACAGAAACATATGCAACAGAAATTCAAGCCTGCAATTGGGCATTAGTCATCACACACAGAAAAGCAATTTTATATACGAGTCAGAGAAAGGTCTAATGAAAACTCGGACAACTGATTCAATCATTTGGCTTTCTTTCACGCTTTGAATTCCTCCACACCTCTTTTCATAACAGAGTTGAATCCACAGAGAACCAATGTTCCATGAAGCTCTTGTTTTAGAGCTGAACACTGTATGAGTTCTGACCGCCAGAATTTGATACCACTTATAAATAATATGGTCATCTGAGCAAATACTTCAGCATCTTTTCCACCACCCACTTTCATTCTCTCATGTAACAGCATAACAGTTAAACGAGCTACACATACATGAAATTTTAATAAATTTATTAATTTAATTTAATAAATTTATTAATTTTATTCAACACTAAATAAGTGTTAAAACAGTAATGTAAGGTAATGTAATTTATTTGGTTCACATAAAGTCTCACTAAACTGAAAAGAGTAAGGGTAAACTAAAAAAAAAAAAATTCAGTTTAAGGACAACTCACGTTGTATCGAGGTACAGGGTGTGGACTTGCTGACCAACCAAAGCAGGGTAGCGCTCCATGGAAGGGTCTGCCCTGAAGTCTCCTGTGTGCAGAATAACAGTTCCACTGGGTAGACGGAAAAGGATCATTGCTGCACCTGGACAACTGAAACAAACAAACAAACAATCCCCACACAAATTCCGTCAGCTCTCTATACCAGTAAAATGCCTTAAGAGATAGACCACCCTGCAGCAGCAGGAAGGTATGCAGAACAGCATTTTAAATCACAGCTACTATGCAGCCTAATTTAGCAGCAAAGCAATCAGGCCCCATCTTCTAGGTACGACAAAGATGCTGCCTCGGTTGCAATCTCTGAGGTTCTATTGCTTGATTCAAAGGGGAAACAGCATACCAAAGAGAAGCAGCATTCTTATTCAGGAGAAAGAGAAGTGTATTACTGCAGATTCAACTTTGGTCCTGCAGGACTTACTGAAGCGTTTTCTTTTAAATTCTCTTTGCAGATTTTAAATGTTATTCTCCATCCAGAATTCCATGATTATGAATACAAACTCTCTTACTGGCAACAGCAAATCCATTGCACCTTCTGCAGTTGGTACCTGAAGGGCAAGAGCTCAGACTAGAAAACCAGAATGGGACTACTTTAGGTATCAACCATCTGCAAAGGGTAAACGAAATCTCAAAAGAGGAAAAACTGGCATGAATCAGAGCTAAAATGACAGAACTGGTGAATTCTCCAAGAAGCTGATCTTTGTACTTAAGGTATATATGCCTTTTAAATGGAAGCAGAGGATCAGAGACAAACAGGAAAAATGAGGTGTCCAAATTACACAAGCAACAAAGCTTCCTTCATTCCTAGAAAAGGTTCTCAGAGGACTTCATGGAATCTTATCTTTCCAACTACAAACAAATCCTACACTAACCAATATTCAAACCAGCTGTGACACAGTCCTGCATTTCAATATATATACTGCAGGGAAGGGACTTTTCCTCTAGCCCATGGCCAAATAATGTACCAAGAGGCAGAAAGGCAAGAGAACAGGATTGGTGCTACTGAACTCTAAATCCAGCATTGCCAGTTAGTGCCAGTGCAACAGACAAAAATCTCACCCTTTACCACCAAATCCAGAAGTCTTGTTCCAAAGTTCAACAGGTTTTTCTTTGAAGTTCAGTTTTAAAAATGTTGTGTCTCTCATGGGATCCAAAATACCACATTTTTCTTTAGCTCAAGATTTCCCTATTGTCAGTTGAAGCTACAGAAGCCTAAGGTATCTGATAATCAAATCTACTATGTTCCCAACTAGACACCAAAAAACAAAAAGTGTCCAGATCATTAGAAAAATCATTCTATCCCTCAACAAGCATAAAAATTATGCAGCTATGTGTGGCTAATATAATGCACTCAAAACAAAATAAAATTAGGGAGCTATGAATGGTTAATACAACGTACTCAGAATGGTTAATACAATGTACTCAAAACAAAATAAAATAAAATTCAAAAAAACCTGTTTCATTTTTGAAGATAGCTTTTGAAATAGGTGAGTTAACTATTTGCAAGAAATTTAGGCTCCTACATGTCTAATTCACTTCTGAAGTGAAAATGCATGTTACTAAGCCACCTCAGGAATGTGAAGTATTTTCATCCTTACTTTCTCAGATCCACTGAAAACCTAAAGATCATGAAAACATAAACTGCATCTGTACAGCTGGTTATCTTTAATATTCTATATATACAAATTTTCCACAATAAATGCAATGATACCTACTGATTGGCATCAAGCAACAATACTTTGATCCCATCCACTGTGCATTCCGTGTCCATGGGCAGCACATGAACATACTGCTCTTGGACTCGAAGCTTGCTCTTCACCAGATTGCCAGTTATCTGAAAAAGGAAAAGGATTTAAAATGGGATAGGAACAAAATCTAAAAGAAGCGTCTGTTTATTTCAGAAACAAAAGCTCTCAAAGCCAGACAGTCTGGCTTAGAGAGAAACTATAAGGTCCTGGGCATAATCAAGCCTTTCAGTAGCATTTCACCTCTAGAAAGCAACCCGAAAAAAGCTGTCCTAAGAAACTTTTCAAAGCCTGTCAACAGATTATGGATTGGAATCAGAGAGGAGGAAAACAAGGGTGAATAACATATTACAGACTGCCAAGTCAAGAAAAGGAGGTGGGTAAAGCCTTCTTTAAACAACTGAAGAAGTTTCCAGGTAAGAGGCCCCTGGATCTTATGGAGGACTGCAGTCTCCCCAGCACCTACTGGAAGGGCAACAGCATTCCAGGAAACTTCCAGAGTAAATGATTCCACAAAAGCATTCCAGGAAACTTCCAGAGTAAATGATAAATACTTTTTTTGATGCAAACTCTGGTTATGGGTTGATTAAGTAAGGTGCCCTACCATGTTACAAGTAAAGAGCTGGTTAGACATATGACAGCTAATGGTAGTCTTGGCCATTCAGCAGCCTGAAACACAGGACACAGAGGACCAGGCTAAAACAACTCACTTACTTAATGTGGAGAAGAGATGGCTTAAGCAGAATCTAATTTCAGACTTCCATCACTTGAACAGTTATAGAGAGGATGGAGCCAGATTCTTCTTCATTATGCACACAAAAACCCCAAGCTAAAATCTCAAGTTGCAAAAAGGGGCATTTCAAATGTATACTAGGAAAAAAATTCAGAGTAGGTAAGCACTCCAACAGGTTGTAAGGAAACATAGTGAAATCTGGCCTATTTTCAAAATTTGGCTGAGAAAGGCTCCCTGCAGTTTGATCTAATTTTGAAGTTAGACCCACATTGTGCAGGGGGTCAGTCTATATGACCTCTAGAGATCCTTTTAAACCTGACTATTTGCATGGTATCTAGACAGGGAAGTTTCACTGATCATCTTCATCAGTCAAATCAGGGTAAGGATTTCTTACAAGCAAATTGCAGATTCCCCTGTACATAACCACTGTGCCTTAACTGACCTAACAATGGAACTGCTGATCTTCTATTTACTTTCATCAATACAGAAGTGATTCCATTTGCATGCAGAATGGACAATATCTAACAACCTTGAAAAACCTTACCTTATTACAGTAGATTGGAAACCTGAAGTTTTTTGTTAGCCCACAATAGTGATCAGAGTGAAAATGAGTAAGGAAATAAGCTGTGCAGCCTTCAATTTCTCCATACTGGAAAGCATCAACTGTAAAACCAGTTCCTACAGCAAAAAGGGAAGAGAAGCCAGTCAGTGAATACCCATAGTTCAGAATCAGTTTCTAATTAGATGTTGCTTTTGTTTTCTTTCTTTCTTCCCAATTAAAAGGTAATAGTTACACTTCACACAGTTTAAGGAGCCTTTTAAAGATTAACATGGTTTGTGTATCAGTCAACAGTTGCAAAAAGAGATTTTCACTTACTAAAATAAAAATTTCACATAGTATCCACATATAAATACTTTCACAGGCCTCCCAAATACGTTGATTAGCTGCCATCTATACAGATGGCAATTGGTTAAGCAAATAAAACACATTTACCTGCATTCAGATGGTATTTCTGAAAGTTAGATAGATTGAAATCTAATACCAACATCTTAACACAAAATGAAACAGGTAACTGCAGCTTAACAGAATGCATTTTGCAATCAAACTGCAATTCTTCAATTATTCTGCAGTTAACATTCCTCTTAAAGCACGCAACCACATCATTATTAAGCATTATTAATCTGGGGTCTTTGAATATATCTGCTGAGATGAAACATGCCTGATTTGCCATTGTATGCTTTCAGTGAGCTGCTGTTTGTATAAAAATGTTGCATAAAGACACCTGTGCATCTCTGCAAATGTATTTTTTAAAATGCAAATATACTGACAAATGGTCCTTTTACACTGGGTTATACTTTCTTAAAACTACCCAACAGTGCACAGAACTAATTCAGCTGGTGGCACTTAAATATTTTTCATTTTTTTACACAAATTTCCCAGATCTTCTAGGAGAACTAGAAATAGTTTCACTTCCTTGCGGCTAGAACTTTAAGTATTTGCAAGCCCAAAAAACCACAGCAGTCTGCTAAGCAAAAATCACAAACCAAAAAATCCCCAAGTGTTTAAGCGATACCAGACTCAAAACTTCATGGAGGCTGAATTATACCAGGCCACAGGGATGAATACATCCCATTAGCAACATAGATAACCAGTCAAATGTAGTAACAAAATTCAGAATAAAGATAACATAGGTAATAACAAAGCAACTTTAAAATTGTACTGTACTCACAGGAGTCTTCAAGTTTATTATATAGGCAACATTCTCTAAGCCCATGGAACCCATGGCACTGATGTAGCCCCACAAAGACTTAAGTCAGTTTTCAAGCAGCAGCCTGGCACTTATGATCACCAGTGTATTTCTATTTGGTTTCTTCAAATACCTTCCTAAGACTAAGACAGTGCTTCAGTGGTAAACGGAACTGTGAGGATATGAAGTATCATCCTGTAATTTAAGTAATTGCTTGAGGAGATTCTGAGAAATTCTTGGCTTTTTCCTTAACTAAACTATTCTGCTCGGTTTTCTTCCTTTGCTTTCACAGTTGTAATAAATCATATTTCTTATTCTAATTGAATTTCAAATGCAAAATTAAACTCAATTCTTTTAACTCAGTGCTAAGGAAGTAATTGCTATTGACAGCCATATTTTCAGGCACAACTGAAACGATGTAAAAGATTAAATTCAGGAATTAGGAGTGTATATTAAAAAGGGATACATTAAAAATAATTCAAGAAAGTAGTTATCAAGAGTAAAAATACCAAAGCCTAAAATTAGGAAAAAATACAACACTCCAGCCAAAATTAATTAACCTCTACGGAAAGCAAGTTACCTGGTATTTTCTTGTAGAAAGGGCAGTATTTTTTCCTTGGTCCTTCACCTGTAGCAGGTAATTCTTTAAATTTTTTTCTCCACCTTCGTCGGCCACCAGAACTTACTTCTGCAATGGCTTCATTTTTACTTGAACTTTCTGTAACTTCTTCTACATCTTCCACAGACCCCTCAGCTTTCCTTTTTTGCTGTCTGGGCCTCTTTCCATTGGGAGTTACTGAACTTGGTATCTGCTTTCTCTCACTCAAACACATCTCTCCTTTACTTTCCTCTTTTGCTTTGGGTTTTAACCCAAAGAAAACACCAATATCCATTTGTTTGAGTTCTTTGGCAGGACTGGATTTAGCATTCATGTTTGCTAAAGAAAGAGATGTTGCTGACTTAGAGCTGGGGCTGGGAAAGCACACAGCAGCTGTATTAAGATTTCCTTTTTCCTCCGCTACTGTCTGCAAACTCTCCTGGCGAGGTATTTCTTCAATTGCATTGGCAGTCACTTTTTCTGTATTAGTTAAAATGTTACTTGGCTCCCTCAAAACATTACTCTTCTGTGTCAGAAGGCAGCCAGCATCTTCTCTGCCTAGCAGTGATGATGTCTCAGTAAAACTCACGTACGCAGAATCCAAAGCACAGGCACCAGTACCTCCTGACTCTGTGTTACCTGCTTTGGCAGCAGAGGAAATCAAACCTGGCTCTTCAGCCTCCTCACAATTACAAGTAAAAGAGGACCCATTGGCTACCACCCCTTGCTGATGATCCAGGTGGTTCAATGTATTTATTTCCTCACAGAGGGTTTTTTTAATTACAAAATTTCCTGTTTTGCTATGCTCATACTGAGGTTTCTTCTGTAAGAGAAGCTCATCAAGTGTTTTAAATTCCTCAGAACTAGAGTCTTCATCTTCCAAGTTCTGCACTTTGAATAATTTATCCTGTGACACTTCTACTTTCTCCTCCTCTTCCTCAGCTTCCTCTTCACTTTCCTCAAATGTACTCAGTGGAGAGTAAGAAATTTCACAGTCATTGAAGTCCACTTTTGACTTTAGTAGACTTGGATGACCTGCATCCTTCTGACTACACAGATCTTCTCCTGTTTCACTTTCTTGAGAGGATGCAAAATCAAAAAATTCAAATTTACAACTATTATCTGTGGTCCGTGTAAGCTGAAATGTCTGTTGAGGTTTCTGAACATCTGCAAACAAGGAAGTACTTTTACTGATTATATTTGGAGACTTCATTGGCAGTGAACTCTGTACCATCAATGCACAGTCCTCATTAGGGACATGTTTTGTATCATTAGGTGGTTTCTCATTCTGGGAGATTTCTTCTACATGACTGGGGAAACAGCTGGGCTTTGCAGTAGTAGAACATGTCATCTCCAAAGTGTTTCCTGAAGAGTTTACAAGACAATCTCCTGCTCTGTTTGCTGCAAGTAGAAAATGGCTGTAACGCTTGTAGTGGGATGGAATAGTGGAAGTACACAGCAAACCATCAGGACACTCTATGAAAAGATAAATAGAGACGAAATGTTAATATCTTTGCAAATATAGCTGGCATAAATATTAAAACAAAAGTTACAAGCGACACACAACTTAAGAGCTTTTTCTTATAAATACAGCTATTGGGGGACAGAAGGCACAAGTTAAAAAGGAATTTTCAAGCTGCCAAGGCCTCCTGCCCTGAGCTGGGTAGAAATGAGAATGTTTCCAACCTAAAACCAAACAGCTCCTGCAGCTAATACAGCACTATGCCTGAATTATACAGCCCTTTAACAACAAGAATACTTAAGCCTGTTTCAATGCTGTGCTCAGCTTAATCATATACCTTCTAGTTTAGAATTGTCTCACATGCAAGCAACAAGCTCAGAGCATTAGCACCAAAAAGGGCCAAATGTTTAAAATACAAATAATAAACAAATAAATGCTGCTTAATTTTGTTTTTTCAAAGCAAAACAAATCTCAGTTCTGAATCAACCTGAAGTTACATTTCAAATTGTCTGCTGGGTTACATATAACATTAAAAAAAAAAAAAGTCCTGTATTTACTTACATGAAAAAATATTCAGCATTGAGATGCCAGAAAAAAAAATCTCTGGCTGTTCCTGCTTTTTTATGTTGAGAGTTTGCTAGCCTAACTGTTGAGGGTTTTAAGGTGCATGCACAAATCAATCAGAAGTAGTTTCCATCTGCTAATTATGGGAGTAAAAGATGGCAGTGAGGTATTAACACACCTGCCTTAAATTAAAACCACTGCCAAAATCAGCATTAAGGGACTTATATGTCATTGTTCTGAAGAAGAAGGTTCAAAGAAAGTTACAAAGATGTAAAAAGGAAAGTGACTGCATTACCTAAAGCAGCCTCTAGTCAAGTTTCCTGATTGTATGTTTTCTGATTTTCAAAAGTTATGAGGTGTACTAAGGACATAAATTGGATACCTGAATCTGTTCAGATATGGTATTTCCCCATGAAACTATAATTTGGAATGTGTCAGTTTTGAAATTGGAATGTGTCAGTTTTATTCCTCTTGCACAGAACTCCAAACAAAACTGTGTTGTGTTATGATACAAGACTGTTCATGTAAAATTCTGTATAAAATTTCTAAATCATACTGGACCAGGAGCTAACATTTCAAGTAAATTAGCATATTTCAGGTTCCAGATGTCCTTAGACAACTGGGCAAATCACATAACAACATGGATACAGAATAACAGAATCCATACATAAGGAGAAAGAAACTTGATGTCAAAAGTAGCAGCCTTGTAACTGAAGGTTTTTTTCTGACACTGACTTAGTAATGTTAGCAGGTTTCCTTAGATTTAAATGGCAAATATGCATCTTCTTTTTCTTCAGTGAACTACTAAAACTGGAGCTTGATAAACAGCCATGAATCTTTTATCACTACTCTCAGAGTTTTGAGATTAGATTCTGAAATGAGATTTTCATGTCAGATTTCCATGTTCTTCACAAAGCAGCAAAATTTCTTTACAAAAACAGTATTGATCAGTAACAACATTTAAAAAATCATACCAACTACTATCTCAGATTTTGAGCTAAATATGAAAAACAAAGTTTAAAGCAACTTCCAACTTTTGGAAGTTTTCCAACTTGAAGTTTTCAAGTTTTCCAACTTGAGAAACTTCCAACTTTTCTTCAAAAGCTTTTTTTTTTTACTCTATTCATACCTTTTGCAATGGATCCTGGAGTATCCAAACATTCATCAACGTGCCATTGAGGTGTCTGGACCACTAGCAAAGAGAAAGGCATCTGGCAGCTGGGACAGTATCCATCATGCACGGGTTTTGCCTTTTGTGAGCTCTGTTCCGTCAGGCTACTCACGCTTTCCTGGGAGTGCACACTACTGTCATCTTTACATTGATCCACATCCTGATTTGGCTGTGATCTCTGCTTGGTTTTCTGCGGTGTATCAGTTTTTTCCACTAATTTCTTTTTCCTATTTCTCTTTCTTTTTGGCCTACCATTGCCACTTACTTCCTGTGCAGGTGTAGAGACACTCTGTGAATTACCTTGATGCTTTTGCTTCCTAATAGATTTGTATTCCCAAATGTCCTCCTCTTCCAGTAAAGCATCTTCAGACATGGCAACACAGGAAATACAGCCCTTTCTTTTAAGCAACAGTTCACAAACCTGCCTTTCCTCCCGCTAATATATTTTCTCTTCCCTCCACTCTTCACTATATAAGGAAAAGGCCCAGAGCCCCATATTAAAAAATCAACACTGGGCCACAAACCACGCAGCAGTCCGTGACGGGACAAAAGCATGGTGGATCCTATCCTAAAAAATAATTCAATGAGCGCCTCTTTGAAGATATGCTACTTCTGTCAAACAGGGCCCGAGTCTGTCAAGACTTGCAGGAAGAGCCATTTCCTCCAGCTCTTCCCGCTCCTAAGCACCTACCCGGCCTCGGGAGAGGCAGCCCGGACACCTCGCTCCCGAGCGGGAAGATTTAAAAACAAAACGACGAAGAGTTCAGCTACGGGATCGGTGCCGGGGTGTCCCAGTGCTGCTCCCCGGAGTGTCCCGGTGCCCAGAGAGTATCCCGGGATGCCCCCTGGAATGTCCCGGTGCCCACAGAGCGTTCCGAGATGCTCCCTGGGATGTCCCGGAGCTCCCGCCGGTTCCGTGGATGGCGGGCGGGCACCTCCCGCCCGTTCCCTGCCGCGCATTCGCTTCCGCAGGTTCGTCACCGCGGCTGTCGCTCAGCTTTCCTCTTCTCCCTTAGTATCGCCCCCCAAAAAATAAAAATCCCAGGGTTTAAATTGCTGGTTTGAGCTTTGTCCCGGGGCAGCTCAATTTTCACACCTTACAAACACAGAAGCAGCCGGCCGGGACAAGGCGGGCTGTGTTGAATCTGCCGCGCGGGAGTCTCCACCGCGGGCTCCCTTCGGGAATGTGCTGCTGTGGATACCAAGGATACGTAAAAACAGGGAATAAGCGAGGAGGTCCCGCTTTAAGGCAGGCGGGTTAACGCGTGCCTGTGCTTTGTGGTTTATTTTCTTTTTCGATCGCGGCGTCCCGCCCGGCGCCGCGGGCGGTGCCGAATGTGCGGCGCTGAAGCGCCAGGCCCGTAAACAGCGGGCGGGCGAGGCGATGGCGGCGGGCGGGCTGGCGGGGCTGCTGCCCGCACAGACACAGCTCGAGTACGCGCTGCTCGACGCCGACACCGCCCAGGAGAAGGAGAACCTGGTCTACCAGTACCTGAAGAAGGTGGACAGCCGGGAGCGGGACCTGACGGTGCCCGAGCTCGGCGGAGGTGGGTGGCGCGGCCCGGGGCCTCCCCGGGGAGGTGGCGGAGCTGCGGCTCCCGCCGTGAGCTGTTTGCCCGGAGGTCCCGAGGCGGCCGGGGCCGGGCAGGGACGGCCCCGTGAGCCGCTCTTGTAAAGGGCGCTTGTAGCTACAGGAGTGTCACTCCTGGAAGCACCAGGAGCGAAGGGCAAGGAGAAAGAACACCTTTAAACATGATCCCCCTGGTACTGCAAAACCCCCGTTCTTTAAAACCCCTTTTCTAAATCACTGCTAGCTTCATTAATTTACTGGTTTTAATTTTATTTTTTTAAATAAAGCTCTTCCCATCTGTACAGTAAATTGGTATCTGTCACCTCTGGTCGTAGTGAGAACCTTACTAACTCCCAGGTTTCTCCTGAGCTCCCTTGGTTTCCCTGAGTATCCCTTAGGATGTTCCCCATCTCTCTCTCCCCATGACTTACCCCTGATTGTCAGTTTACATGTCCCTGATCATACAAACTGTGCTGGAGATGTCATTGATCTTCCTTCTGTGGTTTGCCCCTTTCACACATTTATTGCGTTTCTATATCTCTTCTTGTCCTAAGGATGAAATCAAGGGTTAAACCTTGTATGATCTTGCAAGTCCTGCTCATAGTCCTTCAAACCTTAGTGAGGTTCTCTGCAGCTGTTGGAGCTCACATCTGACTGCAAGACAGAGACCTCAGGAGGTGAACTTCAGGGTTAAAATCACATATGTCATGGGAATTAATTATGACTTTTAACCACTGAAGCAAAGGGAATGTTCTTTTTGTGTAGATTTGGACCCCTGAATTGAATTTTAGCTTTTGTGATAAATATTGTTTCACTTCCAGTGTTCTGTCAAGACATTTTCTCCTCTAAAAAGGGCTCAAATAGATAGCCAACATTTCTCATTTCAAGTGCTTTTTAATTAAAGGTATTTTAGTTCTAGTGAAAAGGGGAGCAATGCAGCAAAATAAACTACCCTTTTCTTTTAAAAAGTAAAACCCTTATACTGTGGAAATAATGCATACACTTGATAAATTATTCTTATTATTGTCACCAATGCTAAATATATGTGAATTCATTTATGTTTATAAGTATAGGGAGGTCGAGATCAGTCTTCCTCTTAGTGAAACAGAAAACAGCCTCCTGCTGACTTAGGCAGGAATAACTTCTGGGGCTGCAAGAACTTGGTTTGCTGAAACTATTAGTGGAACTTTTGAGGATTTTTAGATTAGTCAACATTTATTTTTTTAAGAAAAGGCCTTCAAAAACTTAGTTCATGTTAACATTGTATCACATCTGTCTTTTCCTTCTAAGATTTTTAGAAATGTTAAGAGATAATAATGGCAGACCATATTCTAAGATATTTATTCCTTATCTTGATACCAGCATTTAATGGGATCAGAGGAATATCAGTTACCAGTGAGGAAAGAATGCTTTCGTGTCTTGTGTCAAGTTGTTAAAATAAATGACCATGAGTCCTGCTGGGTCTATCTGAAAATGTTGTATTTATTCCCATGTCACAGAATTAATTTATACCTGTCATTTCAAACTTTGAAAATCAAGATCAAATCTATAAGCACAAAAATATTTCAATGGTCTCTGAAATCAGTTCTTTACAAAACTGTTGGAAAAATCATTAAGAGCTTAACACTTTCTAACTTTTACTAGCCTTTATGTGAGTTTGAAATGATTGTTACCCATGTGATGTTGTTGAGAGTTGAATAATGTAAATCATGTTTTAAAATGTATGAAATTTGTTCTGAGACTTGCATGTTCTTTCAATTAAAAGGTGCCTATTTAAAGCTATAAACTACACTTTGATATTACAGTAAATCTTGTTAATAATATTTATGAAGAATTGTGGAACATAAGGATGAGTTGGATAAATACTTTTTGTTTCCTTTTCTACTTGCATGGAAAGGGATGTTGAACTTTTTTTTTTGAAGTTAAATATACCAGGAGCATTATGTGGTGTTGTGTAAATTAGGTATAAGTGTCTGCCTTTCCCTGCCCTTCCCTGAACTGGATATCACTGTTCTCTGAATTCCAGATCTGCAATGGTTAAACACTGAAGGTCCTATTTCTCTTCACAAAGACCTTTGTGGAAAAGTTGTGGTGTTGGATTTCTTTACTTATTGCTGCATCAATTGCTTGCACCTGCTGCCTGATCTCCACGCCTTAGAGCACCAGTACTCTGATAAAGGTAAGAGTGCTTTGGTTTGCTTGGAATAGAATTTCCTGGCAGTGTTGCAGGCGGAGTAGCTGAGTCACTTTGTTGCTGGTTACTAAACTCCTGGCAATATTTCAGGGGCGTCTAAAAATGTCTTCTAATCTTTTAAGTAGCCTAAAAAAGGTGACTGTGTATATTTTCATCACATTTTTAAATAGGGTTAAATAAAGCGTCTGTTGTGTCTGTATAATTAGACAAACAGGATATGTGCTTAAAATCTGATGTCTTTAAATAAGGCTATTTGCAAAAAGCTACTCAATGATGTAAGATACAAGCTCAAAGTTAATATATGTAACTCTTCACACTTGACTGAAGAACCAGCTCTGAGAAGAATACAGTAAAGGTGGTAGTATGGATATAATTAAGATTACTTGGTTTTTTTCTATTGGAACTCAAATATCAAAATATTTAAGCTTGATTTAAATTTTTTTTATATTGGCATCATATTGTATACCATTAATAGTCCTGTGTTCTAGAGAGGGAATTATGCTCTTTAATGTCACATCTGTCTCTCATTTTGAGTGAATAAAAATGCAGGGTAATTTCTGTTTAGAATGCAGTCTCTTGTCATCATGATGACTTGTCAGAGATAAGCTGTGGTCTTACACAGTGTGTCAGCTACTCACTTATCATGGATATTTTGACAGACTGAACTGTGAGATAAAGAACAGTGTTACTTTCTGACCTAAAAATATTGTATTATATGTAATAAATAAAACTATCTTAAAATGCTTAAGTCTGATTCTCCATTGCTGTTTCTGATTGGGATTAATTTTGGCAGCATTTTTTTTCATGCGTTACCTTCTTTCAGTAGAAAAAGAGATTGCAATACCTTTGAAATTTACATAGCCCTTTACATACATTTACAGAGCACTTTGCAAAAGACTCAAACTGATTTTTCTACCTTGGAAAGCTTAGCTGTTTGCTTTGAAAAAATTGAAATGTGGAATAATGTTTCAGCTATTAGGAACTTAGTCTAATAAAGAAAAACCTTCATGGCATTTTTTTGGGAGGGAGTCAGTTTTAAGTGGAAGGTGATTAGCAAATGATAAGTGGACTGCTGTGGATATTAGGCATGTTGGGAAGAAGGTCTAGACTGAGATTTCAGAAGATTACATTGATCGTATAATGAACAATATTTTTAATTTATAAATATTTTATAATATAGTTATTGAATTAATATAGCTGTTATTTAAGGCTAAGTTGTTAAATCGGCTGATAAGAAAATTTTCGTTTTAACAACCTCTCCCCCCAAGCTTTCTCTTTAAACTGCTTGTACATCTCTAAACTAGTGTAGAGGAGGCTGCAGCACTCTGAGCTTAAGGTCCACTTGGAGACATGTTTTTCTTTGACTTATATTAAACTTCCTGTCATAGGAGTTACTACTTGAGCAAAGTACTTTGCTGATGGTGATAAATGATTTTTGTATTTGAACTGTCCTTGTAAGTTGTTTTTGGATTTGAGCTGTCCTGTTCCTGCAGGAACCAGAGTGAGAAAAAAGATACTTGGGATGAAAGTGGAGGTAAAGGGAAAGAAGAGCAGGTGTGTGGAACATTAATTTTAAATTGAATCCATTAGGAAGCAGAGGATAGCAGTTGGATTCAGGAAGAGATTAAGGTGCTTGATGGTTCAAACAAAGAGAAAAATACATTGGGGTTTTTTTTCACTGAAGATCTCTGGTTTTATCCTTTTCTGCTGTTTTCATGGCTTTTTTTATCAACCCTTCCAGAATTATTTAATCTTTGTTTGCTGTGCTAAGTGTGTGAATTTTAGCATTACAGTGATATGTATAAAATATATCAAGGCAGTAAGGCTTGTGGTTTTTTAACCATTGAAAAATACTTCAGTACATGGACTTATATCAGTGTGCATCTTCTTCACCCAAGATAAATGTGAATTTCTAATCACTAGGAGAAAGAGAAGGGGAGAGTTGTTGACTCAAGAAACTTGAGAAAGATAAAAGTTGGAAGAACAAAGCATCCTATTTTAACAAAGCATCTATCTCATAATGCATTTGGATCTTTAATCTCTTGTTTGAATATTTGAAGGAATACTGCCTATTTTTTTCTTAGTCATAAGAAATAAATTTCTTGATTATACATTGTGTACATACATTTTTGATACTCTAATTACTTTTTATGTGGTTCAAATGCCCTCTTATGTGGAGTATGTTGAATCTTAAGTAATGCGATCATCAGACATGAGAAGTTTAAACATAAGATACTGTACAGGGTGATCCTAAATCATTCTATATATCATAGTATATGGGCCATAGTTCTATTGTCTGGAACTTCAGGAGATCTGTTTCAAAATGAAGACTGCTTTCCATAGGATTAAATGTCGCCCAGCATCTTTATCTGATATGTTCTCGCTGCTATCTTCAGTGGTGCTATTTCTGTGTTTCAAGTGGCATTCAGAAAGTTATTTTGGACCCCAGTGCATATTCAGTTCATGTTATCAGCAGTCCAGAAATTACTTCTATAAGAGGAAGTACTTTTTAATATTCAGAAATAGCTTGGCATAAATCCAGTGTTGTGCTCTGCTGTAATTCTTCAAGTAAAGTGTTTTAAATGGTGTGCATATTGTTATATCTCAGCATAGCATCCGTCAGCTTCCACAAGAGTTTTCTTCATGGGGGGATGTTATAACTTATTTGTGTTGCTCAGGTGTTCACTATAGAATTGTCTTTCTAGCTTTAATGATGTTTTTGAAGGACAAATATAAGCCCTGGTGATGGTCCTTTTACAGTTTAAATATTTGACCTGGTGGTTGGAGTTCAGCAGTTAATGATAGTACAACTTCAGCTGTCTGATGTTGCAACATTCTGCAACTGTGGAGATGATAAAGACTGTATCAGTTATAGCGACTCTTTAATTCTGTATCTGTGAAATTGTTATATTCAAGCCTGCCTGGTTCGTAGCAGGTGTTATTTGTCATTTTGTCACAGCTGTCAGCACTGCCATTTTTATTTGAAATATAGAATACTGTGTTGATTTCAGAAGCCTATACATTATTTTTTTTACTGTTTATCTAGAGATAGATATATCAAGGTAACTCTGGACTTCCAGAGTTCAATGTTATTTTTGTGGCTCTGGTTAATGGTGGAAAAAAATTAAACACCATAATTGTGTGCAAGACAATCAGAAGGCAGTTAGGTGTCATAAGCATCTGAAAAAAACCCAAAGTATCTGTTGAACTACAACATACCCGTAATTATTTTGGAAGTGTTTTCTACCTTAGTATGTAGAGGTTCAGGAACTAAAAACAGTTTATGACATACTAAATGTCAACCAGCTGGGGAAGTAATGGTCCTAAAGTTCAGTAATTTCACTGAAGTGTTATTTCTGAGTTTCAGTATTTTCTATATATAGTTTTTTGAATTCCTACTGAGATGTAATTGCTCTTTGTTTGTTCAAATTCCCTCTCATTCCAGAAAGCAGTCAGTCACATTGTGAGATAACTGGTTCGTTTTTCCTTGGTTTTTTTAATTCAAGTACGTTTCAACGCACAACTTTATATTTCCTTTCAGATGGTCTTGTTATTGTTGGTGTCCATTCAGCAAAATTCCCAAATGAGAAGGTTCTGGATAACATTAAAAGTGCCGTTCTGAGGTATAATATTGTCCACCCTGTAGTAAACGACGCAGATGCAACACTGTGGCATGAACTAGAAGTGTCCTGCTGGCCAACCCTGGTCATCCTTGGGCCTCGTGGAAATATGCTGTTTTCGCTTGTTGGAGAGGGACACAGAGAGAAATTGTTTTTATTTACTTCTATAACACTGAAATTCTACAAGGAAAGAGGACAAATCAAAGATAACAACATTGGAATAAAGCTGTACAGAGACTCCCTCCCGCCTTCTCCTCTGCTGTTTCCTGGCAAAGTGACTGTAGATAATTCAGGAGAAAGGTTGGTAATAGCAGACACTGGACACCATAGGATTTTGGTTACTCGTAAAAATGGACAAATTCTACACACTATTGGAGGTAAGGGTGTAAATATATACGTTTATCATAGTAATTTCAGTTTAGGAGTAGAGGATGTTTGCTGAGCCTGGTAGGCTGATTCTTTTCTTTAAGGACCTGGCAGTTTATAAGTCTTGCCAGAATTTTATCTTGTACTAAAATCACTTTTATTGATTTGGGGGGATATAGTGTAAGACCATCAGTGTGGGACTCTGTTAATGCAAAATTGTTTGAGATGCCTAGTTTTTTTTCATTGCTTCATTGACTAAAGTTCCTGTTTTCATGTGATGTCCAGTATGAATTACGAAAATACATTTTGTATTCTTCTGAGAGAGTTACAAATGGTTTTAGATATAAGGGATGTGACATCCACATTAAGCAGCAAGGTAGGAAAAAGACAGACTATAATACCTCTCTTTCCAATAGAAGAAGAGAATGTTAAATTTTGGTTAGAGTGGTCAAAGTTGCATCATAATGCACCATGTACATAGTTGTTCGGACAGTCCATCTATGAGCAACCACGATAGACAGATTTAGGAAGTGGTCAAATTCCCAAATTATTGAAAACAATGGTTCATTTATGTCTCAGAATCAGGACCTGTGTGCCAGTGTGTCCTATATTACTTAGTCTGGTGTTGACTAATGCCTACCCTGTGGCAGAATCCTACGAACCTCATAAAAATACTAGTGGCACTGCTGTTTAAAGAAAGGAAGGAAAAATCTCTTGCTGTTTGAAGTAACAGTGCGTTGGGATAGACTGTTTATCCAAGTTAACCTGATTTATCATTAAGGTATTAGTCTAAGTACCCTTCTCTTGTAGGAAGTACAGTCAGAATTTCTTATGGCAAAAGTGAGAGAATTTGATTTCTGCTTGATATGTGAGATTAATCTCTGCCCTCAAGTTACCCAGTAGTGTTCTGGTGTGGTCATTAAACAGGAATTCAGAGGGAGTGTCCTAATCTCCCAACTGGTACCCGTCTTTCCTGTGGCACTCTGTGCTATTCCCTTCCCTGGGGATATGCACCCTCATGCTTACAAGGGAAACTACTGGAATCTGATACGCCAGTACTTCAGTCCTTTATATCTGTTAAGGTCTAAATGGACTTCTGACAGTAGGTTGTAAAAGTTTGTGTATTTCAGTGACTCAGTTAAATGAGTCAGTGGGCAGAAAACAATGTAATGAAGTTGATAATACAGCAATAAACGTGGGCATGCACAAAGGTTGAAATTGTTGTATTTGCATCATAAATCATGATACACACATAACTCATACCTAAATGTCTCCTGCTGACATATACTGCTAATGCACTTTAAATGCTACTCCCTCTGAAATACGATGCTTACCTTCATACTGTTATATTCAGGTCATGTTCCATTCTGTTTCTTGATTGTTCTGTGCAGAAGACTGTCACTCCATCATTCTCACTGTTCTTTTGTGTAATTAGTTCCATGTCATCTTTTCCCTAATTATTATTATTAATGTGAAAATGTTGCTAATCAGATATTAGTTTCAGTTGTGATTACACCAAAATCTAAACTAATGAAATACAGTAGAGTTTTGGAAATTGAAGTTTTTCCTGTTGGCTTGTTTTGATATATTCGGGAATGAAAGAGCTGTGGTTTTTTTGTCTTTCATTGTTGCTGTTGTCCTTTAGTACAATTTAGAACCCTATTTTGACCCCTCTAGAACAATTTAGAACCTTACTAAGACTTCTCTGAAATATGAGCTTAAAGAAGCAGAGAACTTGTTCAGAATGGGTTCAAAACTTATTAGCACCAGGCTATTTTAATTACATATCACAGTGACTAAAATGAGACTACACAAAATAGTAATAACGTAAAGTGTACAAGGTGCTGTGAGAGCAGCTCTTAGAATATGTAATTCTCTTACAGGTTTAAATGTATGCACTTTAAGGTGGCTATTTATTAAAATTACTTTCAAGTTTGCTTTGTTTTATTTATAGGTCCTAACAGTGGAAGAAGAGATGGAAAATTTTCAGAGGCAGCTTTCAACTCACCACAAGGAATTGCTATAAAAAATAATGTTATTTATGTAGCTGATACAGAAAATCACCTAATTAGGAAGGTAAATTTTCCATAAGGAAACTAAAAATTTAATCTTGTACTGTATTCTACTTACGTAGGTGAAAGTTTACACCAAATGAATGACTCTCTGAATATCCTTAATGTCAGGAAGAAAATTTGGTCCAATATCTTATAAATAAATGCTGCTATGCAGGTTTGTTTGTTTTTTTTAAAGGCTACATATACTTTATGCTTCCTGTCAATTGAAGATGAGATGGGCTCCTCATTATAGCATAACAGGGTTTTGTTGTGGTTTTTTTCCTAGTCACTATTACTTTCCTGTTATGAGAAACATCTATTCTTAGTACTGGAAGCAAAAACTGGTTTTGTTTCACTTCCAGTAGTATCAGATTCTTATCTAAAGTTATTGTACTACTGTGGTTCAGTGAATATCTAAACTTCCTTTAACTGTTTGGGTCTCTAAAATACAGGTAACTGCCTTAATATCAGAATTGGCTGCATGTGTATTCTTTCTGATTTAACACTTGCAAAGTTTTAGCATGTAGGAATTGGATCTTACATTTGATTAGGTGAAATTTAGGATAATCGGAAGTTAAGTTTGGTGATGCAGTATAATGTAGCCTTATTATTTAAAGTATTGTATGCATCTCAGAAGATCTTGTACTCAGATCCTCACCATTATGTCTGATTGGTGACCAAAGTAATGTTCTCTGGAGTCCTCATCTTATTAATATTCACCGCTGTAGCCTGGTGACCACAGGAAATTAAGTGTTAGAGGTAGCAAAGACAGCACAGAAACACCTGAAGATCTGGATCATACTGCGTCAGCATTTTCCATGATAGTGAGCTGTTCCCTTTCATCGAAATGTGCCATGATGGTATCCAAGAATTAAAGTAACACAATAGCTACAGGAAATTATTTCAAATGCTTGTGCAGAGCACAGACCTTGCAAAAGGAGTGCATTTACTGCTACAGAAGTTAGAAGATTCTGTATGTGAAAGACTCCCTTTTTACATGATCATCCTGATAAATTCATGGGAGGTATTGAAGTCACTTAGAAAGTAAGTGAAAGGGTAAGGAAAAATAAAGGGATTTAGGTTGCAGAAATGAAATAAAATCATTGTTTGCTCTAGGGCATGAAATAAACTGAAAAAATAATTTGCTTTGCTCAGATTATTTGATATGGAGATGGAAGATACAGTATCTGAGTTCTTACGTCATATTCCTGTAGAATTTTAAAATAAAACAGTCACATCCATTGTTTATTTAAGTATTTATCTGGAAATTTGGGATGCTTTCTTCTACAGCTGCTGGGCAAATCTTGACAGAGCAGTGTTAATTTTTGTTGCATGTGGAAGAGAGTCCCAGGCACATGGTTTTCATGCTGCCTACTTCTTCCCCACACTCACGTTCCTCTGCCCATCAGCAAGCATTGTGGTAAAATTAGTTATTTTCCTACATAAATAAATACCTGGTATTTGTTAGAACTTTTCTGGTTTTGACATCTAACTTAAATTATCTGTAACTTCAAGTTAAGTTTATATATTCAATGTGTGTCATTTTGCTTCACATAGATTGACCTGGAATTAGAGATGGTGACCACTGTGGCAGGCATTGGGATACAAGGTGTTGATAAGGAAGGTGGAGCAAAAGGAGAAGAACAGCCCATCAGCTCTCCGTGGGATGTGATCTTTGGAAGTTCAAGTAGTGTATCAGTTGAGCTTTAACATCTCATGTTTACATATGCATAACTGTTTGCTATGTGTTTCCTTGTTTCGGTATTAATCTGAGATATAAAAAAATTAAGGTTTTCTATACAACTGAGTGTAAAAACCACTGGTTTCAATTGCAAGTGGTAACTGCAGTTCTGCTTTGGATCCTGAAATATTACTTGATGAAAGAAAAATTCTTTTGAGGCAAGTTATGTGGTTAATGGACCCAAATACAAAGGAAACTGTGATTGCTTTTGTTAGGCCAGTGCTTTATGCTGGGATCACTTAAGCAGCAGGTACATTTTACAAGAAGGAAGCATTGTGCAGAAGTTCCTTTCCTTGACTGTACAGATATGTCTGACTACTTGTAAATATTTGGGTTTAGGAAATAAAAATAGTTTTAGTTGGGGACCTCCGTTTATTCCTGTTTAGGTGACATAAAATCATTAGGCTCAAGGTCAGTCAGATAGGAGAGGAATACCTCAGAACAAACCTTGGAAGCATCAGGAAGTAAAATAAATCTTTTAATAGGATGCAAGAATCAGCTTCTGGGGACTTGAGTAGCTTTCTTTGCTGATTTACTTAATACGCACCTGAACTTGACATCTCATAACTGTGAGGCAGTTTTCTCATGTTTCCATTTCAATTTAATTTAAAAGTTGCAGATGCCAGTTTCTTAACAATGACAGAACAATGCTTTAATGGGGCATAAAACCATTGGGTTGTTATTTCAGGCATAAAAAGTTGACTTTCAATATTCAGATTTCTTGAATGGGGTGAGGAAGTAGCATGACTTACCTCTAATACCTTGAACAGAGGTTTTTGCAAGTGTAGTAAATTATAACATTTTATTGACATGCAAGCATTTGTTAAAATCTTGGATCAGTTATGAGGGAGGAAGACATGCTTATTCTAGGATTAAGGGAACATAGAATCCTAGAGTGGTTTGGGTTGGAATAGGCCTTAAAGTCCATCTAGTTCCAACCTCCTGCTGTGGACATGGATAACTTCCATTAGACCAGGTTGCTCAAAGCCCTGCCCAACTGGGCCTTGAACAATTCCAAGGATGGGGCATCCACACTGGGCAACTTATGCCAGGGCCTCACCACTGTCACAGTGAAGAATTTCTTCCTAATATCTAATCTAAACCTGCCCTCTTTCAGCCATTCCCCCTTGTCCTATCACTCCATGCCTTTGTCCAAAGTCCCTCTCCAGCTCTCTTGTAAGCCCCCTTTAGGTATTAGAAGGTGCTCTCAAGTCTCCCCAGAGTCTTTCCCTCTTCAGGCTGAACAACTCCAACTCTTTCAGCCTGTCTTTATAGCAGAGGTGCTCCAGCCCTCTGGTCATCCTTGTGGCCTCCTCTGGCCTTGCTCCAGCAGGTCCGTGGAGCTCGTTCGTAAGTGCTGATAGTGTAGAGCTCTTCTGGTACAAATACATTGTCAGTACAGACAGAGTGCCATCAGCAGCCTTGAGTACTTAAGTAAGCAACTAGGATAAATTTAATAAACACTTTTATTAACATGTCTTCTACCCAAAAAAAAAAAGCCTTTTTTCAAAGGCTTTGTCAGCGACCCTTCCAGTGGAAATTAAGCGTATGGAATCCTACTTGAGAGAGAAAGGAGGAGAATACCTGAAAGACAATCTCACCAGATGTACATTGCTATTAATGCAGGCATGAATTTTGGTGAATCTTCTTCAATCTGATTTTTCTTTTGTGAACCAGTAGACTTGTATGAGTAGATGGTATGGTTTTCAAGAGATCTTGAACCAGAAAGCTGATCCCTGTGGGTTGTTATTGCAGAGCTGTTTCGCAAATCAGCAAAGAGACTAGTAACTGATTGGTGTTTCAGAAACTTGAGCTGGTTAACAGAACTATTTGAATTATCCTATAATTTTACTTTTAATTTTTATGGTGCTCTCTTCTACTTCTACCAGTAACTGAATATATGTTGATACTTTTTGAAAGCTCTGCTTGTTAAATGTTAATTGATATGATAATTGTTATCAACATGAACGTTATACTTACTGAGTTAATCACCTGTAGAAGATTAATCATCTGCACTGTTTAACACTGACTGCTGAATTTTAATAAGCATTTGCATAAAAATCACATCTTCAGAATGCACTCTGTTCAGACCAGTGTAGATTTTTTTCATCTTCAGGTAGAACCTACTAGTCAGTTTTCTATGTAGATTGCTGCAAAATATAATATAAACTGTCAGTTAAGAAGATATTAAATCAATTTAAAGTCTTTTGTTTTTGAGAAGATAATAAGTCAAATAGATAAAATGGGGGAAAATATAGATTACTGTAATGGCAATACAAAATTCTTTAGAAAACAATAACCAGAGAGAGCTGTCAAAATGGAGTTATACTGAGTAGATTGCAAACAGAAGTCTGTCCCAGAGCATGAGGAACCAGGAGTTTTTTGATTTAATAGTTTTCAGTGCATTTTTGAACAAGCATTTTTTACTGTCATGAGTTGCGGTGATTTCTTTAAGTTTGTTGCCAGACATCAAAATAGTTTGTCCACAATGCAGCAGTGTTTGTCAAAGCTGTATTGTTGAGTTGCAAATTGCAAAGTTGCAAATTGCTTGAGCCTAATGGGATCTTCTGTTGCTATCCAGTATATCAAAGGATGCATTTGTGCCTCTCAGAGTGCTGTCCTACAACTAGATACCCTGTTGTCAATGTTAAAGCTGCTATGCCAGTGTCTATTTAGGCATCTGGATGGGTGAAGTAATTAATGAGAGTTTCAAAAATTACTTCTGTTTGCATCCACACAGCAATATCCTTTTTTTATATATGCTTATATCTGTCTGTGCGAATTGCAGGAGGTAACATGCACTTCAACAACTTAGGTTCATTATGACAAATTTTAAAAGTTTGACTTTTGTGTTAACGGGCTTAGCCTATGGGAAATAATAGCATACTTTTCCATTTTCCTTAGATCTGTGTAGCTGAAACTGTGTGCAAGAGGCATTTTTTTCTTTCCAGAAGATAGATTTATAGTTGAGATTTTAATATGGATTTTATAATTTTTAAACAAGTTTCTGAGTTTCCTTTCAGTGTGCAGAGCCATGTTATCCAGAACATGAAAGAGAGGAAAAAAAAGGAAGTTTAAATGTTTAAGCTGGTTATGTACTACTGCTGACCTTTTTGGAAGTCTCAAAGGGGAAAGGTTAACTCCTAATTTCCTAAAGAAATTTTTTTCCTGTATCGCTGATATTTCTTGACGTTACTCCTACATACAGTTTAGAGTACATATTGATCAATTAAAAGACTTCATTGTTTGTTTAAATTTTTAATATTTAGTTTGTTGAGAAATTAAAAATTGTGAGAAAAACTTTATGAGGATGTGAATAGGTTAGTATTTGGAACAGATACTACTAAGTAGCATGCTTTTAAGCATCTGCATAGTACTTTCGTAAGTAGGGTTTTGTTGCCCCATTTTTTACAGATGCTGAAGTCTGAGACAAAGAGGTTGAATGTGAAACACCATTCGAAAGAAAGTTGGCACAAATGTCTCCCTTTAAGGCAGGGGAGACAAAACACATGGTAGGATTCAGACAGTGTTCTTCCTTGTCATCTCTTTTATTTCTTTAGTTGTGGCCACTGAGCTTGTGTTTTGCCCTCCCATTAAAATTCTTGAATGAACTCCATGGATTAAATTCTGGCTTTATTGAGGGTGGTGCTGAAATTTGCATTGACACAGATTGTGCGGGAAATAGAAGGGGAGGGCCAGCAGCTTAAAAATACATTATGAAATTACTGTGTGCTTTTTTAGCTTTCTCTGTTGTCCCCTTCTATTTTTATTTAGTGGGTGTTGAAAGCAAGTGATACTTTAATGCACAGTTGATTTGAGCATGAAATGTTCTTGATAGCTGCATTCTTGCTGGAAGGAACAGGACAATGACTTGTGCTTGGTGACATAACCGTGTGTTTCGCATTCCAAAATCTGGTCTTAAATTGCATGATTGTAATGTATTTATAGACACTCCCAAGTACAGTATTGACCATGTTTTCACTAAACCAGCTGGAAATTTTTACGTCAATTTAAGTTTTACATAGATATTATTTAAATGAAAGTACAGTACCTTATCACACTGGTACAATTTTTATAGCCCTTAAAAGGCAAAAGTATGTAAGATTTTTTTTTCCTCTCTGTGTTCCTGCTAGAGGATTATTCAGTACCACTGCATTCCAGAGCAAACACTCTTTTTTTCTTTTTTTTTTTCTGGATTACTCATGGTGATTCTTCCCTAATTTTACCAAAAAAAACCCAGAACAATAATCACTTAAGCAGTAAGCAATTGGCACTTCCTGGGTGAGCTCAGATCGTATCCAGTCTTGTTTTGGGGGACTTCTGAAGTGCATCTTCTTCTGTACATTGTCTGAGTGGGTCAACCCACTCATGCTGTTGACAAAATCACAGAGAGGGACAAATAGATTTAACATGTCCTAACAAATTTATGAACGGGTTCTGTAGTGGGTTGGGTTTTTTTTTACTTTAAGCACTGGGGAGAAAACTGAGGAGAGAGAAACTTTTGGAACTAGTAGCTTTTTGTGTGATCTGCCCAAAAGAATTTATCTCTACAGGAACTGAGTTAAACTGTTGACTGAATGCTCTGTATTCTGAGCCAAAACTAAGAGATTACAGGGTTTGTGGTATAGTAATAGCAACAAAAGTTGTTAATATTTCACACGTTCACCATAGAAACAGATCAAGAAATTAGGTACCTATGTTAGTATTTTAGTATAAACATGCTTTTGATATACAAATACCAAAGTCTTAATGAAAGGGTGTAATGGGAGTTGTGACTCGATATTCAACAGAAATCTCACACAATTTAGTTTGACAGACTACTTTTCTAAGCTGAATTTATCTACATCTTGACAAAATGCATGATGATGAGGATTACTTTCTGCAGTTAAAAGAAGGATTTGGATTAGCAGAGTTGCCATCTTAACAGTTGTCAAACTTAGAATAATTTTGAAGTCCATTACTTGAAACTGTAAAAAAATTATGATATTTGTACCTGGAGTGATAGTTCTCATTCTTTTTGTTCCACAGTCTACAGTCTTGTTCTATGAATTAAATGTATGCTCATGATAAAGAAGCTAAAACTACGAATCAGATTTCTAAAGACTAGTTGAGATATCAGATACGGTTTTTACTGCAAAATTCCAGATGCAAAACTGTTGAAAATAAACATCCTTAGCAAGTCGTGGAGAGGCTTTGTCAGGCATGCTGAAGTCAGAATGAGACACATTTTTTAACTGTTACCATTTGATGCTGAAAGTGCTTTTGAATGTGGAATGTGGGTGTTGGAAGTCAAGGGAGACTGTGGTGCTGAAGTACTGTCAAGTATATGTGTTTACTGTACTTAATTAGGAATGAGTAAAACACAAGACTTAGCTTTTTTTTTTAGTAGTTATAGTGATGTATCCCAAAACTAAATAATCCAAATTTGTTCTTTCGTGTTTACAAATGCAGTCTCTTCTGCTTTGGATTTTTTAAAAAATATTTACTGCCATTACAGCTAGAAGGCCTGAGTTAGGAAACTTGTGAAAGAAATAAAAAATATTTCATTATAGTCATCATTTTTACCTCCCTGTTATCTCCCATTTTATGACATCCCCTTGATATCTATGTTCAAGGATTTCCCTTAGTGAGAGAGAAGGTATGTTAATTAGGGAGGAAAATTCCAGAGGCATTTTATTTCATAAAGGGTTATGCTGTTTGCATGCTGCAACACAATGTGAAAGAGTTCCAGGTAGCACAGAAAAAAAAGAAAATTAATTTTTAGTTGTCCGAAAAGGATGATGTGTGCTCGTAACAGTCCAGACTTCCAGTGCAAAAGCAAGCCTTTGGGGCTTTGCTGTCTCTGTCTCACTGAAGAAGAATGACGATTCTCTAGTTGTTCCGTGAGTCAGATTTGCATTTAATTTGCTAAACTTCCTTGACTTAAGAGAAGGTGAGATGTGCGTTCACTGTGCACAGAGTCGTTGCGCCTCTCTGTGTGTTGTATAGCCCCTTTTGCTCCTCAAGAATTTGCAGAGGATGAGCATACCAACAGATTTCTTCCTTGTTGACTTTTTTTTTCCTTTAAAGATAAAATTAGTAGACAGGAATAATATTTTCAGACTTCAGTCTATTTAGAAAATGTCAGTGGTGCCAGTCACAAAATGTAACTTTGATTCCCAGGCTTTTAATTCCCAGACTGGAAGCAAGCATGCAGTCCCCAGATAGGGAAGCTGGAAGTGTGGGCAGTCCTGGGAATGGAATCCCTTCAAACAGATATTGCTGTTGGCTGGTGCAAAACAAAATCATTTCTGTGCATTCAGGTTGACTCACCGTTAATAGTCAGCGGTGTTACTGTTTGAAGCTGTGCATGTGTACAGACAGGAACGGGAATTCTTAAAACACAGCACAGGACACAGCAGAGGCACATTCAGGAGCTGAAACATCATATAATAACTGAAATATCATATGATATGGAATACTGGTGCATTCAGAGCTCTGGTTCAATATTAGTGAATGTTTGTAACATAGGTATGCAAGCCATACCTCACTTCGATACAGGCAGCACTAAAGATAAGAAAGCACATACCCTAATAAGGAGATACTACACTGGATTTTTAAAACAGCTCAAGATAGGTTGGAATGTAGTGCTTAATTGAATAAATGTAAAAGAATTGCTTTGTTCTTTTATGTTGTTTTATAATAAGTTCTTTAAAAATAAATTCTTTCCATTCAGGGATGATAAGGAGTTATGATAATGATGGCATTACCATAATTTCACATGCTGGTTCTCCCTGGCCCCCTTCTCCTCCAAGAACAGCGCAAGGACAACAAGCAGTGTGAAGTCCTCAAACTACACTATCCTGAAAGAAAAAGTTTCTCTGTCTTTTGTTTCAGAACATAAAGCATTGAAATATGTATGTGAGGACCACTGTGTGATAAAATACCTTAGCTGTGCAGCTATAAGCATTAGTTTTACTTTTATGGTTTTATATAATTTTTTTTTATTAAAGCTCTGACATATTTTCCACAGTTGAGTATGCTTGTGCAGTTTCCATGCTTGTATCCATTCTCTTTGTTCTAATGGCCATCCAGTAGAAAGTTGAGTTAAAATTTATGATGGTTAAGGAGCTCTTACTTATTTTTACTGCCTTGTTCTCTAGTTGAAGAAAGGATCTTTTCTCTATCCATCTTACATATTCAGTAAAATTTGAATTTGATATTGATACTTTTTTCTCATATTTGAAAGGTCTTTTAGTGTGTAGCATTAGAGTAAGAAACTAATTTCAATTTTTCAACATGTAGCTGTCACAAGGGAGTTCTCAGTGTATGGTATTAGTGAATTGGATAGATGGATGGAACAGTTCAAGTCTTACTCCTTCATGTAATTGGTGGATAAAGTGAGTATTAAATAATTAACAAAACACTCTTTGAGATCCCTCAGAATGAATTGCACAGCATAGTGAGATAAAAAAGCTCACTTTGTGAATAGACCAGTGATTTTAACATTTTTCATTCTGGAGTACTTAGAATAGTAACATCTGAAAAGTGCAAGATATGCATAATGGAAATGTGAAATCCTAAAGCTGGGCATTTACTGTATAGAAACTAGTGAAATGATCCCATAGGCTGTTTTCTCAATTTAAATCTCTTAGAAACTAACTCTAATCAAAAGTGATTTTTTGGGCAGGGAGGTGTTGTTCTGGGTTTTTATTATTGGAATGTTTTTGGCACTATTGGAATCTTGGTAGCATTTCTGGTAACTCATAAAATGTACGTTTTGCATCTCATTTTTCAAACCTTTTTCGCTCAAAAAAAAAGCTTTTAGGTACTTTGCAAATTTGACTTTTGATTTTGGAGCTCTAGTTTATGTAAAAAGAGGGAGCCACATGGAGGTGCAGGAAAGAGTCGCCAGAGTTACTTTGATAACAGTCTTGGAAACTTGTATCTTGATCCAAGAAACTGAAAAGGCTGAAGATAAACTACATTAAAATCATACCACTTCTATTCTACAGAGAGCTCACAGTATAAGGAAATTGATCTGGAGACAGAAGGATGCTTTTTTCCCCTTCTTGCAGTGTGTAGTGTAGGAAAGATTTATGATTAGAAGAAAAATAGCAGGATCTCAGTTGGGAGAATGGTGGTAATTTCATTTTTTTGGACTAACTTCTCAGGTTGAAAATGCTTGCAAGCATTTCACGTAACATTGCTTTTATTTTGAAACTCCGAAATATTTGGTGGGAGGAAGATTATCCATGAGATTATTTTCAGGAACTGCTGTGAGATACTTAATGCTTTGTAAATTCATGTGAATAAAAGGTTTCTGTGAGCAACTTGAAGGTATTTATCTGTTGAGTGGCTAATGGTTATTCCAATACCTGATACATTCAATTAGAAAAAATATGTTTATGTCTTCTCTGACTAGATGGGGCATGTTAGAAAGATAATAGTGTCCCCATTTTAATGCAGTTTTTGAATGTCACCTTTCTGTTCATTAAGATTTTCTTTCAAAACCTGTAAAAAAATAGTAGTTTTTTGGAGCATATCATTTTGTCACTAGTGTAGTAGAAAACCTCAAGATTGCACCCCCCAAAACCATGCTTAGGAAAGATATGTACTTATTGTTGGCTGGTATGAATCAAAAAATAACAGGTGAAACAGACACAATAGCAAAATGTTGCAAAGAGCAAATCCCATTTGAAACATCGCCGTTATCAGGTAGGGATATTAAAACCACTATCTTTATAGCCTTGGATAAAAAACAGAAGAAAAATAGCAGGTTTTGGTAGATGAAAGATATTCTCTCTACTTCTCTTGCTCTGTTTTTTTGGTTGGGTTTTTATTTTCTTCCCCATGGCAAAAGATGAGCTGGAGTAGGAGGACAGCAGGGTTGGTTTGATGACTTGTTTGTTTTGTAAAACAATTCCAAAGTGGGTTTTTTTTCATCTGGCTTTATACATCCCTTTTTAAAAGCTTCAGGAACCCAGGAAGATGATGTTTTATGGATAGCAATGGCAGGCACCCATCAGATATGGGCACTGATGTTGGAAGATGGAAAACTACCAAAGGGAAGGTAAGCAACCATGCTAAGAGACATGTGAAATTGCTGTTTGTCATGATAAACAGCTTTCAAACCCCAAAGAGAGAGATAATCAAATTAAACTAAAAATAATTTCGTTTAAAGGCGTGTGTGCTTTAAAGTCTGCCTGCTTTTTCCCACATCTGTTGGATGAAATGAAAGATGCTACTTTTGCTATACAGTTATGACTTAGTAAGGTGCATTCATATAATTGAATGTTACTTTTCCTTGCATTTGCCAAGTTACCTAGTAATGAATGATATACTGAGGTGATATAAAAGTTAGCACAAAAGCATTGAATGATTCCTTGTGCTGCAGTACAGTTGGTTTTATAACTCACAAGTGTAGCTTCTATTTATGCATAATGTCTGAGGTATTTCAGACTCAGTATTGAAATTGGGCCCTATTTTCCTTTAGTGATTTAAAGAAAGGAGTCTGCCTTCGATTTGCTGGGAGTGGAAATGAGGAGAACAGGAACAATGCATACCCACACAAGGCAGGCTTTGCCCAGCCTTCGGGGCTGTCCCTGGCTCCCGAGGATCCCTGGAACTGCCTGTTTGTGGCGGACAGCGAGAGCAGCACCGTGCGAACCGTCTCGCTGAAGGACGGAGCAGTGAAGCACCTTGTAGGAGGAGAGAGAGATCCATTGGTAATCACTTCAAACTTCCCCACACTGCCCTACTAATATTCCTCAAGCCTGACCTGGAGGAACCACTTTTGGGGTGAGAGGGTAAATCAGTTTCCGTGGCCATCAATTTCTTAACTTCACTGCTTGGAATGCAAATGTGTGCCAGTTGTGACGCTCAGGTTGTAGTAGTTATATTTAAAATAGCCAGTTTAATTGAGCATCCTGTGGTCATTAAGCCAGCTGGATTCATATTTATAACTTAGAAGTGAGAGTTTTCATTTCCATGTTTAGCATCCACACTTCCCAGTTTTTAATATCCTTGTTTTAAAATTGTCTTGATTTTTTTTTTAAAGTCAGTGAATTTCCATTTAATTACAATCATTTACATTCATGTCAACATTGAATAATCTAGTGTATTAATTAAATAAAACACGTTTTCAGAATTTGTTTGCCTTTGGTGATGTGGATGGAGCAGGCATAAATGCAAAGCTGCAGCATCCCTTAGGAGTAACATGGGACAAGAAAAGAAAGTTGCTCTATGTGGCAGATTCTTATAACCACAAGGTAAGCATATAGTCACTTGTTATATACAGACGTTGAAATTTGTATTACTACGAAGAATTGTTTAGTAACATACAATGATTGTGCTTGTTTCTGTTAAGCTGAGGAAACTAATTATATGAGTTTCTTTGTGGGTTCTTTTTCTTTCCTTCCTTCCTTCCCTAAGGGTCCTTTTATTTACCATTGTTTTGCTGTCACATTCTTTTGTGTTGATGTGATGGTCTCTTGGGGGAGGTGAATTTAAAGTGCCAAGTTACAGTTCAGACTAAAAACTCTTTCCTTGTGTCTTCCCAAAGATGCTGAACTAGAATAAAAGAGCTAGGAGTGCTTAGTAAAGAATACTGCAGGTTTGATAAAACTGAGAGAACAAGAGGACTTGCTTTTCCCTTAAAAAAGCCACCCAAGTTTTGAGAAGTGAGTTGCCTCCCTGGAACTCTGAGATAAGCAAGATTGTTTTTTGTGATTGTTCTTATGTGATGTTTTGTAAGCATTCGTGTCTAAAACTGTACACTGATTATATACATTAAAAGACAAGTAATTCGTTTAATTTGAGGAATAAGGTATATAACACTAACTGCTTACCAAAATTTATGTGGCAAATGATATTTTGTTTTAGATATTGTATAACACATCGCAAACTTTTTGTTATTACTTTAAGAAAAAAAATACATTTTTTTTAGAAGAAAAATAATCTAGAAGTTAGCCTGCCAATTCTGTTATACTCCTACTGTTTCGCACATTTTTCCAGAAAGGCAACAAACATTAGAAAAACAAGCCATTTTATACTAGAGAGGTAGGTACCTTTGAAATTAGGGAAAGGAACACTGAATGAAGACCAAAGGAAGTAGTAAAGTCCATCAGGGAATGGGGAGGGCAGAAGATGGGACATGTCACTTGTCAAAGAATGCTAACTCCAGGATGCGTGGTTAAGGTAATCAAAAGTTAGTGCTATCTTCTGAAAATGTGGAACATAAGATAATACAGAATAATACTGCTGGGGTTTTTTCAGTGAAGTTTTTTTGTGTTTTTGTTTGTCTTAGATTAAGGTTGTAGATCCCAAGATGAAGAACTGTGCTACCCTGGCAGGCACAGGAGAAGCAGGCAATGTTGTTGGTTCCAGCTTTACACAGTCAACTTTTAATGAGCCAGGAGGTTTGTGTGTTGAAGACAATGGCCGCTTGATGTATGTTGCAGACACAAATAATCATCAGATTAAAGTGCTGGACTTGGAAACAAAAATTCTTTCCATGGCAAGTAATACTCATTTAACAGGCTGATAGTGGTGTTCCTTGATATAAGTTACTATTACAGACTTCAGCAAGTGGTATAAAAATGATATAGCTAACTTTGGGTACAGTAGCTATATTCACGGAGTGTTCTGTGATGATCAGGCAAATAAACATTGTACATTAGCAGGGCTTTTGAAAGCTTTGGTCTTTGGAAAGGCAGCTTTTGAATGAAAACAGAAAGTGATGATCCTCTAGAAAAGAGTAACGCAGAAATATGAGTTGTTTAAAAGTACAGCCCAGTTTTTCAGTATGAAAAGCATTTCACGAGCACTTTGTAACAATTGGAAGTTGAAATCAATTACCAACCCCTGTAATTAAACTGTAAGAGACGATTTTGGGAGGTCAGTGATTTGAAGCAGAATACATAACAGGCTTCCAAATTGTCAAATCAAAACCAGTCAAAATTGAGCACTGCTATATTTGCTTCTAAAAAGAAAATAACTATGCTCCTGTCCGTCTTACTCTGGCACTATGTCGTAATGATTTTTTCAAATATATAGACATACATATATATGTCTATGGTATAATGGTCCAACTGTGTTCTTGTATGTTTCTTGCATTTAATAGTACATAGTCTTAATGTGTGTTTAAATTTTCATATCATATAACATGTTGGTGGCTTTTCTGGGAAACTCCCCTCTACTTTACTGTGCAATCTGCATAGTTAAAATCCTGGATTTTACTGCCAAAGCACACCAGATTAGAAGAAAACACCTTTACATTTTATTTCAAGTAAAAATGTAATGTAACTGTTAAAATGTTAAATTAAGGGATACTCTAAAGTAGTTATGGATTTTTTGGTTTTAATAGTAAATATTGCTTTTATTTGGATAAATCAGGGGGTTTTCATTTTAAAAAAACATTTCATCCTTCTTTTTGTTTTTGTAGTATTATTGCACTCTGTCAGAAAGTTTTAGGCAATAGCCATAATATCATGTGTCATTTTTCCTTGTCCATGTCAACTTTGAAACTGTAATTGTATTGTGAAAGCCCATTTGCTTTCAGTACAAATAAAAATAAATATTTTGCTTGATTTCTTCTTATAGTTGCCTATCCTGAAGCCAGAAGCATGTGATGTTCCAGATAACCTGCCTGTGCAAAAGGATAAAATAACAAACCTTCCAAAACTGCCTAAATCCGCACCAAATGTTCAACTTCCTGCAGTAACTGTAGCTCCTGGCCAGACAATTCAGTTTTTACTAAACTTGACTCTTCCTCCAGATTCAAAACTGAATGAAGAAGCACCCAATTCCTGGTTTATCACAGCAGAAGGTAGCGTGCCTATGTTGTTTTATCAGTTGAACAGGAGTAATTAAGATAGGAAGTGGGTTATATCATCATGTCCTGCAGTACAGGGGATCTCAGTCTGATGAATCAAGATGTCCCTCACAGTCCTGTGTTCCCATTTGACCCTGTGATGCAATACATGGTATTTAGAGTTGATACATTTAACAGCTGGAGTGCAAATATTAGAAAAAGCGAACACCTGTTAGACTGCTTGGGCTTGAATTATTACATGCTGCATTATTTTATGTTTTTTAAACTTGCTTGGAATGAGCTGCCAGAGAGGGCTTGAAAAGGTACTGATCCCCTTTGGTGCTTGCCCTTTGTCTCTATGTACAGCTCATTCCAGACCTACTCTCTGTTTCTGGGAGAAAGCTTACCATGGAGACAAAGCATATTCCTGAAAGAAATTCCTTTTTTTTGGCTCTTGTCTCTTCCAGAAAGTATTTGAGATCCATTTATACCTAACCACTTTGAACGTCCTTTCTTATAATTCATATTTGCATAATTATACTTGTAAAATACTATACAGACACTGCAGTGTGTTTATATGCCTTATGATTTAATATAGTTTCTTATCCCATTTTGTGATTTTGGAGTACAAATAGGCTGTTTCCAGGAGAGTTGGCATACTTTTTAGCCTACAGAATCTCCAAATATTGTTGAAGTGAAGATATATGTGATGGCTTCAAGGGTTAGTAAAAATTGGAAATGTAAGCAAGTGAAATTTGTCTTTTCAAGCTCATAAATTCTAGAGCCAACTTTTAGGTATTTTCTAAAAAGCCAAAAAGAGCACTTCATCCATCTCACAGTAAAATACAGAGTACAATGCAGTGAGTTAAGTGTATGTATTGTGCAAGTCATTTTTCAGTTCACGTACTCTCAAATATTTAAGTAATGTAAACCTGAAGTTTTGTTCTCACAGTCAGCCTGAGCATTGCTATATTGCACCAACCCAGTGGTAAGACCAACACTGCTGTTTGGAAATGTCGTAATTTGCCTGCAGTTTTATGCCTTTATGGCAGATACTTTACCTGGTGTATTAGATCTCTGATACAAATGTAGGAGTATGTAGGAGAAATTGCAGTTCTGTTGCAGCTGAATAAGTTATGCTGTATATATACACCTGCAGTGCTGATGCAAAGCTGTGGGTCTCTCCATCTTTAAATGACTGATAAAAAAACATTTGTAAATTACTTCTGCTTTTTTTGTTGTTCACAACTGGAAAAATCAGAAAGGAAATCTCCTCTAATGTTGCATGTGAAAAGAAAGTCCTTGTTGTCATGTTTTATGTAGGTCTCAGACATGATGTTAAGTACCCTAATGATAAAATTTGTTGTTGTCTTACAGATAATATGTGGTTGCTTCAAGGACAGTGTCTGATTGGAGAAATCAAGGATGTTTCCTGTCAAACTGTCATTCCCTTTCAGTTACCCAGGAGCTGTGTGTCAGCCGAAGCTGTCCTGGCTATCAAAGCGTGCCTCTACTACTGCAGCAAAGGTAGCAGTGCCTGCATGATGAAAGGAGTCTCATTCAGCCAGCCTTTACAGATAGCTGGTACCAACCAAGGCAGCTCAACTCAAGTTGAACTGATACACACATTTTTAACCAACTAACCCAAAGCCAGCTAATTTCATACTTCATTTTGCTATCCGCCATTTCTACAGGATAAAGTACAAATAGATAACTTTTCTCTGTTTTTTCCTGAAACTTATGACAAAGCTAAGAAATAATATACCTGATCAAATGAAGTAGAGTTCCCTACAGCTTAATGGGAAAATTTATCATCACAACCTCATTTCTTTGCATTACAGTAGCAGCAATAACATTGTAATACTGTAGACTCTGCTGCCAGTTGTGGACATATTGGATGTCTGCCAATCTAAGTAATGAGCAACAATTTTTAGAGTCCTTTTGAAAGAGCTGGTGTTACTTTGTGATGTTGCTGTAAGCTCTTTGCACTGTACATACTGTTAGAGTAGCTAGATCATTCTGGACTAACAGTTTGAAATTCCTTTTGTGCCCTTATTAAATTTTAATAGAATGTTGGAAGGAATAGTTTCCTTCTCCAGTCTGTAAAAGAAGTATCTTGCTTGTTTTTCTGTAATGACATTTATGACACATGTATTTTGAAAATACATCTTAAACTAGGTGCAGCTCTAATTTTATGCAAACTGAGTAACTGCTTTAACTCGATGTGACCGCCTTATATGAAGAGTGTAGGTTCATGGAAAATTTTCTGTGAAAGGAAATGTTCAAGTTTCTGCGGAAGAATTTCATGGTGATTTCTAACAAAGAATGTGCCTCTCTGCAAAGTGTATATATATAAAGAGAAAACACCACAAAACCATGCTGGAGCTTTTCTGATACATACCAATTTACATTTTATAGAAGGTGGTAGATAATGGTTGAATATCTAAACGGCAGAAATTAAATGTCAACCATTTCAAGCAGGGTGAATCACTTTCCTATTTTTATGATTTCTCTGTAAAGACTTGTGTGAAGTCTTTGGTCTTGAAAATATGTAATATTGTGAAGAATATTATACTCTTGAAGTCTGATTCAGAGTCTTTTGAAGTCACTATTAGTCCCCGGTTTTGTAATAGTGGCCACTGAACCAGAATTGTATATTTAATAATGGATTATTTACATTCATGTTTAGAGGTTCTGATCTTTTGCTAAAAAAATGGTAACCCCTAACCTTTGTGTCAGGTGCTTGAAGCTGTATTGCAAAACTCTACCTTTGGTGGTTAAAGGTTTTGCAAGTAAAATTCCCTCAATTTGCCATAGTAAGTAGCAGGAATAGGGGGGAGAGTGTGTGTGTGTGCAAGTTTCTTACTTGAACTAGAAGAGTTTCCACCATGCCTGAGTGGTAATTAGGTTAGGCTCTATTCTCTGGTCATGATGATCAGTGCTGAGAAGATGATTTTGTTTTAAGTTTGAAGATAGTATTTTTCACATATATAATAAAGTGCAGTAGTGAAAGAATTTTTATACAGTCTTTTCTAAAACAGTCACCATTATTCATGACACTTGTCAGTAAATCCCCCGTATCAGTTGTTGTTGCTTTTTCTTACTTAAAGACTGACTGAAATGTTGGTCACGAACCCAGGAGTATTGTTTTAAGGGAACCATCTAGGCTGGTGTGGTTTTTCCTTCCATTGAAATGCCAGTCTATCTGAGAGTTCTTTGTGGTACCAGAAATGGTTGTTATCTCACCTGTCAGTAAGGCAAGGGCTGAACTATTATTTTTCTTGTGTTTGGTTTTTAAGCAACTTTCTTAAGTCAGTGTTTCAGCCTCTCAATTCTCACATGCCATTTTGAAGAATGAAAAAGCTTTGCTACTTTGTTCACAGATTGCAAATGCTACTGGAAGGATGAAGATAAAGAAACTGATTTGGGCATGTATTATTTTTTACACTTTAGCACAACTCTTTCACAATTTTTTGTCTGTTTACTTTTGGGTAGAAGCCAGGAAACCTTAGACCAGCTTCTAGATAGCCCAGAAATTTTCTGTTGCTCTCTGAAAAAAACAAGCATTAGTTTCAGAAGTTCAGAATAAGGAACCAATTTGTTAGTTATCTTGAATGTGTAATTCATCAGGTGGATTTTTTTCTCTCATTTTGTTGTATCATAGAATGGCCTGGGTTGGAAGGGGACTTAAAGATCATGTAGTTCCAACCCCCCCTGCCGTGGAGACACCTTCCACTAGACCATGTTGCTCCAAGCCCCATCCAACCTGGCCTTGGACACTTCCAGGGATGGGGCATCCACAACTTCTCTGGACAACCTGTGCCAGTGCTTCACCACCCTCACAGTAAAGAATTTCTTCCTAATATCTAATCTAAATATACCTTCTGTCAGTTTGAAGTCATTCCCCCATGTCCTATCCCTACGTGCCCTGTAAAAAGTTCCTCTCCATCTCTGTTGTAGCCCTCCTTTAGGCACTGGAAGGTGCTATGAAGTCTTCCCAAAGCCTTCTTCAGGCTGAACAACCCCAACTCAAATTTTCAGCTAGAATGACATATTTTTCTATTTCAGTTAGATAAGATCAAATTCTGCCTGTATTCCAGTATTAAAAAAAAAAAATCTGCTTTGTTATTGACACTGTTTAATTAATGTATTGCCGTAGGGGAAAGACTGTGTTCCTCACTTTATTTAGCTATAGTGTATAATGTTTAATTGTAGTTACATTTTCTATCTAAATGTTCTGCTCCTTGTCAGTCTGTGTGTTCACTGCAATTGGCCTTTTGTCATACACTCTAACACTATGTTTTGTTTGTCCAGGGGACAGCATACACTTTCCCAGAGTCACTCCTTCTGTTTCACTTGTAGTGTGCAGACATTTGAATGTTCTGTAATTAGAAAAGCACATATTTTAAAAGCTTGTGATATTTGGGGATCCTGTTTCCATTTCTTCCTCCAGGGTTTACAGGATGCTCTTACAGGAAAACAGCGAGTGCCATAAATTTCACCAGACAGGCAAACAGTATGGCATGTAAAAGCTACAGAAATTTGTTTCATTTAACTGTCAGAAATATGATACAGAAAAATAAAAGAGGTTACTACTCTGTCTAAATAGTGAAAAATCAGATATATTGATGACTGCTGCCTCTTTGTATGGTGACTTAGCTTTGTGGTGTTTCCTGATATAAAAGTTCTAAGCAGGCTGATATGGCTCAGCACTCCCAGACCTCTGTCTTACAGTAAATGTAATTCAAGGCCTTTTCAAAACATGTCTTTCTACTGACTTTAACAGTTTTTGCGTCAGACCTTAATAAAGTAATAGTGACTAGCAAATCTCTGAAGAGTATTGGTCATGGTTGATCTGTATTATGGAAACAAGTTCAGTGGCATTTTAAGTTTATAGTTGTAGTGTTTGCTTTTCTGGGACAGCTTTTGATTTTGAATGAATATATTATAAGTTCCATTAAATGGTTTTAGAAATTTTATTTAATTGCAGTACATTAATTTTTATTAGACTAGAAAAAAGATGATGTGGTTTTGAAGAGGGAGCATAGTTAGTTTTAACAGCTTTTTGTATAGTTTGAATGCAGTAGTATCCTTCTAGTAGTTCGTTCCCTTCTGTTGAAAGAAGGTTAGAGATGGTGACTGAGTAAACCTGTTGATGGGCACATATTTGATGTGTTCGTTTCTAGTTGATTTCTTTTTGTGTTAGATTCTTACATCATTTTGGGCTTTTCTACTGGATGCACTTCTTCCAAGTTTGTGTTTTGCCTCGTCTTCTGGAAGACCAGGCAAGGAAGACCTCTACAGGTTTTCTATCTGCCAAGCATTACGTTTGTATAATGCTGTGGTAATGTGGTACAAAGCAAGTACAGACCAGATGGGTAATACACGAGAAAGTAGTTTTATAGCATCATGTAAACGCCTTACCTGCTTGGAGAAAAGGTGCATATGGCTTCCAGTATATTGTATATATTCTTAATGCACTTTTTTTTATTTTAATAGGCAAATATTGTAGCTGAAACCATAGGTAAAACTGTTTTGTTGAGAGAACATCAAGAAAAACATACTCGTTATCTCTTGCTCAGAGGAGGGGGATGATCAGAATGAAGAGACTTTTCTTCTCGTTTAGGGGTGTGTCCCTTTGTTCCTGTAATTATTGACTATTTATTTTAGCAAAGAGAGAGGTATTATTGACCACAAATTCTCTTGAATTTTTGATTCCTAGCAAGGTTTTCTACATACATGACAGTTTTAAATGTCTGACTTCATAGAGTTATAGGTGATACATCTAGTTTTAAATGGCTTGTAGTTTAGCAGGCAATAGCAGAGATTTATGTACATTCTTAAGATCTGTAATTTTCTAAAATCACTGTTATTCATTAAGACTTACCACAAAGACACATTGGACCTACAGGTTGACTGAAGTGTGTTCATAAACTTTGTTTTGCAACTCAAAAGTAAGGTTTTTTTCCTGGTATAATGTGGGAGAGGAGCTGTGACACATTGTGTGTATGTGTTCTCCAGGCTGTGGTTGTTCTACCTAAGGAAAATTTACCATGTGCAGCAGCTCGTCAGCCACCCCTCAGTAACTCTCCACACAAATCTGCCAGCTCAGTTGTTAATGTAATCAAATAAATTTACTGGTTTGTGTTAGCAAATATTTAGTATTTTGAATTTATCATTACAATTTTCATTTAAATCAGTTTGTCAGGGATTAGAGGAGCTTCTCTGTCCCAGGCAAGGAATAGTAACAAGTAGTTTCACATAGTTTCTTTTTTTAAGTGAGTTCTGGTTATTTTTTAATTAAATCACCACATCTGTTTTTGTATTCAACAACAGATCATGTTTTTAAAACGATATTTCTAATATATTACATTCCATTGTGCTCATATAACCAAATTTGATTACTCTCTTCCATCAGAAGCAGCTTATCTATATTTTATAATTTTTGTGCTACAATAGGTAAAATCATGACTCTCATTGAGGATTAGGATTCATTCCTGTTCAAGATTCAGCACATCTATCACTGAGTTTCTGAGTTTATCTTAGTTTCTTTGGCATACTGTCATGGGGATTTTGGTTAGGTTTTTGAGCCTGTCTTTTCTTCCTGTAGTTTCCACAATGAAATGCAACCAGTATCTTGTTACCACGGAGGGATCCAAGTAGGAAAGATAATTCCCTCCACCAGCTGCTTGCCCTTCCCTTGCTTTAGGGGTGGGGATGTAAACAGCAAGTTTTACAACATTAGAATAACATTATGTCCTCAGGTGAGATTCATCAGGCTTTACAGTGATGCAGCTACTGTCAGAATTTTTACCTTTACCTCTGGCCCTGTCCAGTGAGGTCCTGAAGTTGTTTCCAGATGTCCCAGAACATCCCGTCAAACTTGAGTAGCCTATGCAGGGATTCTGATGGCTCTTGGTTTCAGGAAACTTTGATGCTATAGATTAAATAATTTATCTGTTATGTAATTTGCTGTCTTGTTGCAGGTTGCACTTAATTGTAATCAGGTAATTAATTCACTTTTGTCTCAGATGAGAAGCAAGAAAACTGGGGTGTAAGTGGAGGAGTGTTTGCGTAGCTATAATTAATTACTTTTTGCTTAGTTTACCTCTTTGGTGGTCCATTGCTTTCAAGTGTACCAGGGAACTCTTTGTCCAATTGCAGGCTCTAGGGCTAAGCAAAAGAATTGCAACTATTTTTCAAGTCTTGCCTAGTTCCTTTGAAATATTGACCATTGTGAGCTAAAGAAATCCCATTTGAAAAAATCTGTTTATACATGTACCTTAACTTAATGCTCTGTACTCAACATGACTCAGAAAAGTGATAATTCACATGTGCATTCTTTCCCATTTTGACTAAGTATTGAGCAACTCAACCCATCTGGCCATTGTCAGACTTCATAGAAAGCAAGATAACAATTCACAATTTGATTTTTAATTCCCTAATTGATGTCTTTATAGAAATTAAGGGCCTATTTCCCAAGCTTTTGATTAAACTGAAATGCTTGGTTTTGAACTGTACATTTAAGGAATCCATCCTGAGAGTTGCCTATATCAGATTTTAAAAATTTTGAATTGATAGTAAAGTGGAGGAACAGAATTGCTAAATGTTTTATATATTGAATATTTAACTTCAAAATTTTCCAATTTCACTTTTAAAGTAGAATTAGAACAATTAAAACATTCTCTTCTCTAAGTCATTACCATTAATGTACCATTAATCATTGTATCATTAAAACCTGTGATGGATCTATGTGATTTTCTGAAGAAATCAATAAAGAAAAATAAGGTAGTTGTAAAACTGCGACTGAGTGATATCCAGGTGCTCCAAATTAGTGGCAAATGTCCTTAGGGCCAGGAGTTCGGCCCAGTGTGACAGAAATTCTGCCTTTTCATTACATCATGATGGCTGAAGGAAAAATATCAGTGCCTTTTGTAACAATACTTGAAAGTGTTTCTTTACAGAAATCTGGAGTACTGATTGAAATAAGGTATTTGAATTTCATGGTTTGCAAGTTTCACAGGGGTTTAATTCTACTAATTCTAAAACTGTGAAGAGTTTTCCTTCTTCATGTTTTTGAATTAAGTTGAAATTAAGGTGCTTATTTGTCAAGCTACTTTTCTTAAAAAATACTTTAAAATGTGGTTGTTTCTTCGTCTCAATCTTGTGAACTTACTTCTGAAACTGTTGTTACCTCTTTTGTGCACTTCAGAATAAACTTGGCAGGGAGACTTCAAACAGCTTGCTGAAATTGTGGTTTGAGTGAGATGAAAGGCAAAACGTACTGATCTAAAAGGGCAAAAGTGATGCTTCTTGGTATTTGAGGGGTGGAGGGTTGGTCTTTGTTTTGGATTTTTTCTCATCTGTTCTACAGATCAGTAGAGATTCTTTTCATGGCAGAAGGTTGTGTGTAGAGGTAGCGAGGAAGGATCAGGTTCTCTCACTGTGAAACCATGTAACTTCATTTAGGTTCTGATACTGGGATATCAAAATTTCAGCAGTGTAATACTAGTGAAGAAAGTCACGTTTGAGCACTTAACACCTTAATAAATGTCTCCATGTGGTTTAAGGGGAAAGACAGGAATTTTTTTCTTTTTCTTTGAGAACTTCAGCGTTGCTTTGTGGACCTCGGGATATTTTTGTCTGCTCTTTGAGATACTAAACCTTTGTTTTTCCATTACGTGTGATGCAAAGCCTTTCAAATATCTGAACGTTTAAAAGATGTGG